CTGAAGTGCACCCTGAGCTTGCCCCCCCCCCACACTTTTTGAAACGTTCCTACGCCTATGTGCTAGCGTTATTAGAGGTGATTCTAAATTGCTACCACATCTGAAATGTACGAAAACCAGGATAAATAGGAGCGGGACCCATTATTGCGATCGATAATTTGCGTCCACGAAACATCAGTTTTTCGCAGGTATTTGAGACTAGTCATCATTTACCTGTTCGCTTTTTACAATTGTACATTTGGTCTCAAGGAAATAAATCGTAATGTCATGCGGACGCGAAATAATTGATTATTGTATAAGGCTGAAACAAAAGATCCTCCGGGTAAAAACATAAGAGCTATTTTGACAGACCGAACAACTTATTCCTTTTTATCCCACTCCTCGTGTAATTCAGATTGCTACCAACCACATCCCGTTTCATAATGCGTGCATAAGGTTTCGACAATCTGTTTCATCGAACGTTACGCATAAGGCCAAGAAAAGCATTTGTGTATTATTTTCTACAATATTGCTTATGCTCTTCCAGACAATGGAAATTTACGTGCCGAGGGCAGGCGTGCAGCTAAAGCCTTAGTAAGGGAGACGCACACGGATAACACATAGTGATAGTGAGATTCTGATAGAGGAAGGACCCTCCTATAGAAAGATATCGCCCAGTATGTCCTATCTGTTAATGTGAGCATGTTTTTGCTTGATATATTTATTTCTTCCTTCAAAAGCTGTAACAGAAGCCAAAAGCTACCGCGAGATCCAAGCTGCCTTAATTGTAAGTCAATGAATTAAATAAGTCATGCATTAAATGACTGTGAAATAAGCCATTGGTGCTCTTTATTTCACAACAATCCAGTGTACTCTTTCTAAGCACATACAACTCAGAAGCTCTGTCAGAATCTTTATCTTGACTGAACAGGCATATTTACGACTCTGCGGACGTAGATCGAACTTTTTCCACGAATCATATTTCCTGGTCAAGCCATGTTTGTCTGGAAATGCTCAACATTCAGTCGGAATTGGTAAGTGATACAAATTATATAACGTAGTCTTGATCATGCGAGCTTGCAAATCTTAGCAACAAAGACCTCAATGACAGGCGTCTCCATAGGCCGCGCAGCGTCGGCCACGCGCCGAACACTATGTCGTAGCCAACGGGGGACGAAAATGGTGACGTATCTGAGAAAAGTACCTTCGAACGCTTTAGACAAGCAAATCCTAGATGCAGGGAAGTCTGGGTGTGTAGTTCATCCGTGCAATTTTTAGCTTCATGGAATTTTTGCGAGCTTACCTCATATGACACGCTGGGTTCACGAACACTCAAAGCTCACATGTCACTCTATTATCCAAGAAGCACGTACCCGTCTCATGACCTGCCACACTCTCCCCACTCTGTTCCTCGCGTGGGCTGACCCCGCCACAGGTCGCGCCGCGCTGAGCTCACCCGGCGCCACCAATGATCACGCTGCACATGTTCTCTTGACAGTTGGGTTCCAAACAATCAGAGGCCAACTCTGGTCAAGCCGGGGTCAACTTGCGGGACGAGGCAGCGTCGGGCGTTGGTTAACCCAGCCCTACAAATTCACAATATTAGCATCCAACACAATGAACGGATTGGCCTTTACAGCAACATGAGGTGGTACTGGAGTCTGGTGGTGAAACTGAGGAGTAAGGGTGGAATCTCAATTTTTTTCGCGTTGCTGCAATTGCTAATCCGTCCGGAGGACAACTTCAAAGTTTTCAAAAAGATAGGCCAGGCCTGGTCTATGAACGGTACCTAATTTTAAGACATTCGAAAACATTATTTCATGACGGTCGCTCTCGCGCGCACGGAACCCATCGCTTGGTGTTGCTTACAGTAGTCAACGCCGTTCGTATTCACGGGAACTGAGACCCAAGCCATTGTTGAACTTGTTTCCGAGATCGCGGGCGCGTAGGCTCCAGCCCTTTAATAAACTGTTTCGTTTGTCGATGTTGCAAAAGAATAAGTGTTCTCAGGCAAGCATGGGATGGCATCATTCGTTTTCAACTCATTTTACCCACGGCATTCAACACTAATGAGACCCTTATTTTCGGGAATGGCTCCTTGGAAAGAAAACTAGAGGCCACATTGTTGTTCCCGGTCAAGGACTGAAGGGCCATTCTGTGCCACCCCGGGGTGTCTTCCGGCTGCCATTCTGACACGGGGGTGGGGGATCCCCCGGCCGATCCGGAGACCCTTAGAGGGATACACTCATGTCACTTTGGTGTCCTTCCTGACGCAGGAAGCCTTCTGACTCGGGCAGACGCAAAACCCTGATTGACTCTACAGCATCTCTAATAGCCGCAGTTGCTCCAATAATTGGCTCAAAGACTCCAGCTCGGTTGGACGGATCCATGCCGGACTTGCTCGATGTGAACAATCATCAGCTTTCACATTTCCTTGCATTGCCAGGGGGCCTCGACCTGCGCAAGAGGCCCCCTGCCATTCGGGCTCCCGTCTCTGCTCCTGTTGAGCAAATCTTCCCTGATCGACTCGAGGTCCGTTGTTAACACAGAATACCCTGTTAGGGGCTGTTGGCCCCTGAACGCTAAAACAACCGCATCGTTGCAGGGGCCCCGACCAATGTAAATCACGACCCGGCCGTGGCCCTGCTTGGGAAAAGGCCCCTAGAGCTCAGACCGACACGAAGGCGATCGTTCGGTGTTGCTGACCTCTGGCCAAAATAGAGGAATGCTATGTTTAATGGGTCCCCAGTAGGCGTAGAATGCCCTCTTACTGACATTTGAGATTATAGCCCTACGGGTGAGGTCCTCCATGTGATCTACAGCCAGCCGCTTGGACCGTTCAGCCTTTCCAACCGGGCCCATGATCTTTGGTCTTCCCTCCGGCCCCTCTTCGGGCCCCCTCAAACACCGTTCCTTGCTGACTCAGGCCATTGGCCACTTCACGACCCCAGTTAGGCACTGTGACTCCTGACCGACACAGGAGCCCCTCATTGAGTCAGGGACCCCGAGCAGTGCAAATCGCGGGTCACGGCCTTTTTCCTGTCCAGGAAAATGGACCTCAAGGGCTCAGGCGGACGTGGAGCCGACTGTTTCTCTTCGTGTTGCGGCCCTTTAGAATTGGGATAGAGTTCCCTAATAAGGAGGCCCCAATAGGTGCCCTCTGACTGACATTTCAGGTCGCGGAACTACGGGTGGGGTGGGTCCCGGGACCAATCGGGCTTTTGATCTTTGGTCCCGAGGGGCCCTCCGGCCCCTCCTCAAGCAAGGCCCGTGACCGACCAGGGGCAACTGGCCGAGACATGGTCTCCTGTCAAGCACTGTGGGCCCTTGGCCGACACAGGGGTCAAATTACTGTTTCAGGGACCCAGACCAGCGGAGATGGTGGACCTTTGTCTTGCTCCTGCCTGGGTAAGGGGCCCCCAGCTGTTCGATGTTCGTGGTCTCTAGCCGACTTGGACGCCTGCATGGTCTCAGGAGATCCTCAAACGGCACAAGAGGACATTTGACTAATATTTCAGGTCACGACTCTACGGATCGCAATTATGTATGTGACCTTCAGCGTTCGAGCCCTTACGCCCTCCAACCTGGCCTTTGCAAGTCGGTTCCGCTATGCCGCCCGGGCCCCTCTTCGGGCCTCATCGAACACTGCCCTTGGTCGGCACGGGGCCCCTTGCGATCGCATGATCCTCTGTTAGGCGCTTTAGGCTCCTGACAGGTACAGCGCTTTAGGTCCCTGGCAGATACAGGAATCTCGACCGGTGTAAATCACTGCCCCGGCTTTGTAGCTGAGTGGGAATGAAACCCTCGGGCCCACAGCGGTACGAAGCGGACTGTGCGGTACTGGTAGTACCTGACCGACACATAGACCCATATCAACTTAGGGTGTCCCTGATCGGTGCAAAGGGCCCTCTGATTGTCATTTGGGGGTTCGTCCCCTCAGGCCGGGGCCCGTGAATGAGACTCTGACCAGCCCCTCCCGTCCTTAGACTCTTCAATGGAGACCCCCAAATGGGAAGTGCTTGACCAACATATCGGGCCCTATTGACTCAGGGGCCCCTGATCAGCGTGCAGGGCCTTCTGGTTGGAATTGGAGTGCCCAGCCCTGCGGACCGATGTCCCTCAAAACGGCCTCCGGCCGGTCTTTCGGGTTCGTCGGGCCGTCAAATCGGGCCGATAATCGTAAGTTCCGAGGGCCCCGCAAAGCCCCACGGAGCCACGGAGGATAAACGGGGGGTGCGTGCCCCTGCGCCCCCTACCTGCAGCAGTGATCGAGGTATCATGAGTACCGTGCACTGGCGTCCAAACAATTGAAAGAGTGCGCTTTTTCAGATCGCTATGTTTGATCCAAAGTTAACGCCGGTGATTCCGGGGACCGGTCTTAAAATATTGTACTTATCGTAATCAGGCGTCATACTTAAAGTGTGCAAATCTTTTTATGCTACATGGTTCTCTTAATCTGGAATGAGGACTTGAATATGAATCGGAATCTGGACACGGACTAACTTACTATCGGCAGACGTTAGCGAACCAGTGTGTAAGGAAAAACTATAATATGGTAGCGATAAAATATTCGTGATAGTGGCGCATGAAAGTCAAAAGTGAAAGACCCTAGAATTGCATACTGGTGCCAGTGCGGGGAGTGCAGAAGGCGCGCTGGGTGGCTGTGGGTTGTGCGTCTGAGCGAAGCGCGTGGTAGGTGGTGGGCGCCGGGAAACATTTCTTACCTTGATTGTGTTGCATTCATTGTGGTATGGCAGTTGGTCAAAGGAGGCGTGTCCACCCATTTAGTAGGGCTCTTCAATCAAATCACTGTCTAGACATTGTGCAGAAATCTCTATGGTCGGCAAGCGCACTCGTCATGCGTAGGACCAAATGTGTACCAAATTGTGATTAGTGCGTTTTTCCAGCTAGGAGGAGGGTGGGGGGAGTCTCAAGGGATCTTTGCCCCTGGCCTAAAGTTCCACTTTCACCTTAACATCATCTCATATGTTTTCACCATCTTATGATCAGAAAGCTTATTTTGGCTTTAGGGAAATTCCAGCCTGAGAACAGGTAACCTACCAGCCTGCATGATTTTTTGTGCATGGCCAGTTGTGCCAATCCAGTGTTATCCAAATGGGCCCAGCAACACCTCTGCTTGAGGCAGGAGCTGATGTTTTGGCCAGGTGCATCTCCCAGGATTTTCCTATGATGTTACTTGTACCTACTGACTGCTTAAAATTCATGCCACAGTCAAGGTGGGCCAGAATCATACTATATTTACCATCCAATATGCTGCATTGCATTTTTACATTGTCAGATTTACAGCTGGCACTGGCTACCTGGCAAGCATTTGTTTGCAGCCATTTTAGCAGTCAAGCACAAGCTGTGGAAATTGTCACAGGCAAAATGCTTTGCACTTGCCCAAAAGCTTTATCTGAGCACCTCAATATAATATGTTGGGTGCTGCATGACCTACAGCAGTTGATGCACCCTAAAACCCCAAATCATCATCATCATCAATATAATCTGTAAATCCCTTGCCACAGGAAGGGTTGTGCAAGCAGGCCCATGCAAGGCAGGACAAGATAATATGGTAGCAAAAGACAACTGATCATGTTAAAGAAGTGTGTTTTCTAGTTATATTCTATTTCTTCCACAGGTCATCATCAGCTAAATATTTGGTAACACAATCTCCCAGTGCATTGCCTTTCCCCAGATACCATGAGCTGCTTCAGTACAGCATGAGCTGTGCCATTTAAGGCATTTCTGCCTTAAAATTGTCAACTGTGCCCAAATACCAATCATTGCTCTAACTCTGGTCATGGCATACATACATTGGTACCTAATGTTAAAAAAGAGCATTGTACATCAATGATTGTTTTTCAGGCAGAGCATGTTGTAAATAATCATGAAACAGGTACATCTGTACTTTTACCTTGGAACTTAAGTAATTATGATAAGAAATAAGTATAGTCTCTCATTCAAGCAATCTGATGATATATATCTAAAATGAATTGTGGAAAAGTGGAAGAGAACACCAGGCTGGGGCAAAAGTATCAACAGCTGCTTTTTACATGGCCTTTAGCCAAAGAAAATACATGACTTATATACATGCAACATACTCAAACACTTGAATGAATGTCACTAACATTACCTTGAGAAAGAGGGAAAAAATCAACAATCATCAGGGTTAAAATCCTCATGCTTCCTGATGTCACCCAAAATCAACTATCATGACTAGAAACTTTAGATTTTGCCAGCATATAAAACATAGTGTTAACTTAGTTTCTTACAATTTCAGCACTTATCTCAAAAGTTTTCAAAACTTGTCTGGGTAAAAGCTTTGAAGGCGGCTTGTAGGCTTGCCCCCAGGGATAGAGTTAAGTCCTCTCACGCATCCTGATATGCAGGGCAACTGCAATCACTCAATCCTAGCTGCAAAAATTACATTGCCAATCTGTTTGATGCTGGCCTGGGGGTTTTGGAAGAGCTCTTTGTGGTCCAATCCAGCATGTTGATGCAAGTGTTGTTTTTCATATTGATATCAACATAACTCGAAATTGAGCCATGCGATAATAAAAAAAGCTTTGTTCACTGGTCCATGTTGTGAAGTTTTGTGCATTTTATCATATTCTGTGTTCTTCCCTAGGGGATCCAAATCTGCTCAAGCCAGCAGCACCTGCCACCATGTCGGCCTTCACTCTGGCTGACTACGTGGTATGCGGCATGATGTTGTCCATCTCTGCTATGATAGGCGTGTACTTCGCGTGCACAGGCGGCCGACAGAGAAGTCAGGCGGTAAGAGCCTTTACATTGCTACCAAAGCTAAAAATAGTCAGGCTGTTGGGATGAGACTCCGGAATTCATGTATACTCGATACCTTATTGTGATAATATTACAATAAATTGAAATGTTAGTGGAGGAGTGGTCGCTTGAGAATAGATGCACAGTTACGTCATGCCTGACTCAGTTGAGAGGCTTCAGAGTTTCAGTGTCCCAGGACTCATTGCTGTTTCTCAGTGGCAGTAGGCTAGGGTCAGCTGTCCCATATTTGGAACATCACTAATGTTCGCCCCGCGACACCGCACGCAAAGAAACAGGTAAACATCGTGTCTACCCCCGCCCAATTCATCAAGAGGTCCTCATCCTGGCACCAGAGCTGTTGCCTTGTGATGGTCACCGTCTCCCCCTCACACAGACAGAGTCGAAGGGGGTGTCGGCATAGCATACCGTGACTTAGTGCTGAGCGTTCTCTGGGCGGCTGGCAGGAGTACCTGCTGGCGGACCGCAGCATGGGCTCGCTACCGGTTGCTTTTTCGCTGCTGGCCAGCTTCATGTCGGCCATCACGCTGCTGGGTGTCAGCGCCGAGAACTACCGGTTCGGGACACAGTTCGTGCTCATCAACGTCTCGTACGCCATCGCTACGCCAATCGCCGCCTACTGCTACCTCCCAGTCTTCTACCGGCTCTCGGAGTACTCCGTGTACCAGGTGAGTTTCGACTGGGGCTCGGCCCGAAAAGTGGGTGGTGCATGCATTCAGTAGGCGCCGCTTGACTTCATCCTTGCAGATTCATCCAGTGGCCCCTTCCAGAAAGCTCGCTTCAACTCTGGTGGGCTTCCGTGTCTGGAGGTCTCCGGCATGCCTCTAGTAACTGTCCCAGCTGGACCGTTAGATAGCCTTTAGCTGGAGTAGCCCAGCCGCAATGACCAGCTCGTCCTTCTCCTTTGGGCATTCCCAAAATTATGTTTATAGCTTCGCACAGAAGTTATGCGCCCAGCCAGTCAAGGCGCTGTCGGTGTCAAGCAACAAGCTGGCGCATTCCGATTTGCACGGGACGAGATTGAGCAGGATCTTCGTCTAGCGGAACGTCGCCATCGATCGTATGCCATTGAGAGAGAGAGAGAGAGAGAGAGAGAGAGAGAGAGAAGAGAGAGAGAGAGAAGAGAGAGAGAGAGAGAGAGAGAGAGAGAGAGAGAGAGAGAAGAGGAGAGAGAGAGAGGAGAGAGAGGAGAGAGAGGGTGAGAGGGGAGACGGAGAAGGGAGAGGGAGAGAAGGGAGAGGGAGAGGGGAAGAGAGGAGAGAGATAAGGTGAAGGGAGAGGACCGGGAGGGCCGTCGGCCCTTGGCCCGCTCGCATCCCAGCTCTAGTCCGGACAGCTTACATCTGCAGATCACAAGAACACCTTGCGCCAACGACGAAGGCTCGAATCTATTTCAGGCAGGAAACACGAGGTCTACTCCGCCCCAAAACCGAAAATACCTGCTGCAGCTAGTCATGGAAACGGACAGCAGGCGGATTCTTCAGGCCATCGCCTCATCCAGGAGGAAGGCGCGCTCCTTCACAACTCAACTGCGCGTACTGCGCGGTCATATGGGTCTTTGCCAGGATGCGCAGCATGAGACGAGCTGGTCATCCGTGTGCTCCTGCAGACTAGCCCAGGCGATATCAGTTGAATCTGTCTTTTCGAGGAAACCCCGGGGCCCTTGCTGGTGTGGTACACCGCAAAAAGCTTGGGATCCATCCAGGTTACCACCCACAGCCAATGCTTTGCACATGCAGACAGTTGTAACAGATGTCGGCCTGGAAGAATGCCGCAAGAAACAGCCGAAATGCATGCCACACCAAAGCAAGCACAGCAACTTTGGCAAGGTTTCCTTCAGAAATTTGCAGACGTGTTCAGAAGATATGTCTGACAGAAGATATGTCTGCGTCTCTGAAGTTAATGACTGGTCCACTGATCGAAATCCATGATGTGGAACTTGGAAGACGCCAAACCGTTCATCTTGCAGGTTTCTCATCCTAACCCGAGCGCCTGGTGCGACGAAGCGAGATAGAGCTTGAGGACATGGTACGCCAGGGAATCATGGCTCCCTTGGACGATGAACCGTGCTCCTGTTGTCACCTACTTGTCCCCATGACCAAGCCGAACGGAGACCTTTGGATATGCTTCGACTTGATAAAGCTGAACAAGTCCGTATAGAGGCCTCTGCATTTATCCCAAACTGCGCGAGAAGGCGCCTCAAGCGTCCATATAACGTCGAAGCTCTTCGTGGCCGTGGATGCGAAGTCTGGGCAATGCCCTCCACACAGCCAGCCAGATGCGTACAACGCTCATCCCCCCCCCCCCCCCCTGTAATCACTTAAGATTTATCGGGGCGTCGATACATCCCGTCTCGTGAGGCGACGAGTTCTGTTGACACGGTAACGTCGCGATTCAAGGCATGAAGAACCTCGGGAAGGTCGTCGTCGGCATCCTTCTCTACGACAAGGCATTCAAAGAGAACACCAAGCACCTGATAGCTGCCCCATTCGTATCGGCATCACGCATCACTCCACAGGAGTACGCTATACTGAAAAATGAGTCTCCTTCCTTGGTTGCCAACTCTGCAGCCGGGAACAAGTCGATCCTATGAAGATGGCAGCCTCTCTGGTTTCCCAGCGCTGACGAACATCCGTGAAATGGGATTCTTCGTGGGTCTGTCATTCGGGAGCTCAAGGGATGCTCAACGGAGATCTCATCGGTCGCGGACCCACTCCATGGTCTGCTGAAGCCCAGCAGCGCATTCGTATGGACATCAGGTTATCAAACGGTCTTCGAGCCCATCAAGGCTACCCTGGCTTCATCGTCCGGACTGTTGCCTCGCGATGCAGCTTTCCCCCACCGTTTCCTAACCATTGCCGCCTGGCTGAATGGACTCGGCTACGCACTCCTGCAACGGCACAGTGTTCGCTGGTATCCCGTCTGATGCGGATCAAGATTCCTCTCCGGCACAGAATCGCGGTACGTGATGCTGGAACTGGAACTGCTGGCGCTCGTATGGGGACTGTGGGTCTCGGAATATTCCTACACGGCCTGCAGCATTTCAAGGTGGTCGTGGAACACTTGATTCCAATATTGCACGAGCACATCATGAATGTCAACAAGAACCACGTCTTTGGAGATGCCTCTGCAGCCTCGACAGCTACTACGACTGCAACCCTAGAAGACGTGCCTCTCTAAAAGTTTACTGCTGGACCAGAGACCGGCAGCTGAAGATCATCAGCTAATCGATGTGGTGAATCACCACGTCCGCCAGACCTTTTCCCTGCAGTATCACAGCACTAACGTCTCTTCAGCTCCTGACCCACGATTTAGGTATGTCACCAAGGCGGCGGAAATGACGTGGAGTACCAGGTACTTGCCGAGGCTGTCGCCCAGAGCTTTTCGTCTGACAAGAAACGGTTATCGGAACACCTGCTGTTTCTCTTCCAGCTGGTCCGCAGCGACCTGACAACTGATGGCGGCCTCATACGGAAAAGCCGTGGCCTCCTGGTCCCAAGAAAGAGCGTCCCGAAGAAACATGCTGGCAGCTCAACGTGACGCTCTCCGGGACGTGGAGCGCCCCAAGCGTAGTACACGTCAAATCGTGTGGTGGCCAGGAATTAACAGTAACATGACCGCGACAATCGGTGACTGTCAGCCATGCCAAAAATGTCGGCCTGACCGATGAAAGACACACATACAGATTGTGTCTGATCCACGGCCATCCAGGGCGCTAGAGGACGTCTCCCACACATTTTCTCCCTCGTTGGGCGGATCTCCTCGTCCGGGTGGACAGACATCTGGCCGAGCTGTTCCCCACCGGGTTCGGCAAGGAGACGCTACAGGCCGACAGGTCACCAGCGCTCTCCAAGAGACGTCAGCGACGCAGGGAGTGTCTGCACTGATGCGGACCGACGGAGAAAGGCAGTAATACAGTCTCGAAATCGCAGTCTTCCCCAATTTCTTTCCCCAATCTCCTTCAACTTAAAATTTTGTGTACAATACATACGCTGGACTGGTTCTCGCTGTACAGAAGGCTAGAATGTGCATCATTGTCAACCCAAGCGTGTGATCACCTTTTCAAGCGGAGAATTAACCGCCTTCATTTTGCAATGACCAGAATTGTTTACCGTTCTCCGAGAACAGTGAGCTGGGTTTTCCGAGCCTTATCTCTCATCTCATTGTGATTGCATCACCGGACGAAAGCGTGCAGGACAGACGCGTTGCACCGATCGCGGTGGTGGCGACTAACAAGCCACCATTGTTGCCGGTCAACAATGGTCTTCAGCCAGAAGCTGCCTCGGTATGGGTGTCGGCGCGCGCACCTGTGACCGCCGCTCTCACTGCGCTCGTGCGCCGTGCGTGCGCATCGGGCGGCAGCGATTTGCCGGCCGGTGGCCGCCGGGGACGCCGGCCGGCGGGGCCAACTGCCGCTCGGTAACTGCCCCCCCCCCCCCCCCCGCGCCAGTTGTGACGGCGAGCGGGCAGGGGTGGGGCAGGGTGGGAATTAATGACTGGGTGGGTTACCGGCGTGCGGAGCAGCTGGTGACATCATCGTCGCAGCGTAGCACTGTCTGCGACTGTGAGATGCGTGTTGGGTGGGAATCGATTGGGGACATTTGAAGTGGCCGTTGAGCTGTTTAGCACGATGCCAGCTGTCGGAATGGGTAAGGGGTGAATGGCTGTCAAGCTGTCGGTGGAGCCGGGTGTCGCGCAGGTGTAGCACTCGTCGCACCACTGCCAGCTCCGAATGACCCAGTCGCACTCTTCTCGTGGTATTGCCTGCGCGTGGACGTTCCCCGAGACAATCACAGTGTCCGAAACTCCGGCTTCAGTCAGATCGATCACGCGGTGCACAGCACAAGGATGCCGCTGCCCACTCAGCGTAGGGGGCGGGCCGCGTCAGCTCCGTGTAGCTGTGAAGCTCTCTCCGATCGGATTCGCCCACCTGCGCTGCTTTGCGCGGTCCGGAGTGCGTGCCGGTCTCGCGCTGAAGGCGCCTGGGCCAGACTCTGAGGGCTCTGAGGGCTCCGAGGCGCTGCACCCGGCGTCGCCACGGCACGCCCGGCGGCGGAGCTGCCTATATCTTTGTGACTTGACATGCCATGCGTTTGGGCCATGTCTTTCTTTCCATGGCAGCTCAGGGGGCACGCACATTTTAGATTTATCGATTAGATCTTTGCAGTTAATGTTCGCGCGCAGGAGGCATCGCCGCTTTGTCCACTGCTTGCGGGCGCCACCCACTTGCTGCGGCATCCTCCCAGTGACTGCGAAATCGGACCGAGGCCGCTGACGTGACGTGATCTGATCCTGATCCGATCTCTGATCTGATCTGATCTGATCTGATCTTATCTGGTCCTTCTCCCCGTACCGATCGAGTCAGGTATCGCACACCGCTGTCCGTTTAGAGTGCAGACAGCCGGCAGCGCACCATGCCGCACCAAAACTTCCGTGCGCCACTGTTGAAACGGTGCGGAAGGTACGAATGGCTAACAGTTTTCTATTAAGTCATCTCAGATCGGGGTGTTGACTTTTTGCGATCTAGAAACACGCTGGCACTGACAGTAATAATTTATAGCCATGGTCAGTAGAACGTAGCAATTTCGGACTTATTGTATTGAACCTTATTGCATTAAACAACGTTTTGAAATATAATTTTATAAACCAATTCCAAGATCATACAACCCTGCTCTGCGACACAGTTCAGGTGGTGTTGCGAGGAGTGAGGTCATCAAATGCGTTTTACTAGGACTCTGTGTTGGTCCGTCAACTTTCAGAATGAATGCAAGTGCGTTTTGCTTGAACAGACAATTTGGGGATTTTGCTACACATGTGACGTTCTGAGAACACGTGTCATTTGTACGCATAGCATTTAAAAAACTGTTTAAGTTAGCATATCGATACAGAACATGATGCGATAACCCACTACTGGGCGTTCCATGGATCGGAAGTTTTGGGTTTTGTGCAAAATGAGCCAGTTTTTTATCACAGGGGCAGGTGTACAAATCGATGTCAGTGTGGGTACCGTTTTGCAGGTGCTGAACCTGGCACTGCTAGTCTAAATTGCCATGCGCTCCATGTCGCAGCGCTGGAGTGGCGAGTGTGTTCCATGCTGTGATGTGCTCCCTTTGGCGGTGCCTGGAGTACCAGTCCGGTCTGTACCCTCACCTCCCTGTCGCAGTGCCGGGAGTGCCGGTTCGGTCGACACCCTCAACTCCCTGTACCTGAAGTGCCGGTTCTGACCGTACCCTCCACTCCCTGTTGCAGTACCTGGAGTGCCGGTTCTTACCGTACCCTCCACTCCCTGTTGCAGTACCGGGAGTGCCGGTTCTGACCGTACCCTCCACTCCCTGTTGCAGTACCTGGAGTGCCGGTTCGGCGTGCTGACCCGTGTCCTGTGCTCGCTGGCCTTCTCGGTCCAGATGGTTCTCTACATGGGCATCGTGCTGTACGCGCCGGCCATCGCGCTTAGCACCGTCACCGGTGAGTGTACGGCGTGGGTGGAGCGCCGCCGGCGCTGGTTACTGCTACTGGTTACTGGTTACTGGCACTGGTTACTGGTACTGGTTGCTGGTTACTGGTAATGGTTACCGGCACTGGTTGCTAGTTACGAATGTGACGGCGCCGGTGCTGTCTGAGGTTGTACTGTGAGTGGTCGGGCGCGGTGGTGGGTGGCCGTCATGACTAATGTGGTGTTTACGTACGTTGTCCTCGGCTATGCTCGTTGCGTCGCGCGCGAGATGGAATTTCCGGCGACGTGCCCCACCTACCCTGCGTATCGCTCCGTCGTATACATGATGTCCAGTTGTGAGAGCGCTGGTACTGAACCATTGCGGACGTGCCAAAATCACTCAGCCAGCGGTCAATGCAGTGTGAATGTGTTCGAGAGTACGTTTACCGCCGGCGTGCTTTGTGGGCAGGAGAAGGAGAATAACGTGCAATCGCTAGCACGACGGCTGTTGACCCCGTCTTGCCCGTTGGCAGTCTTACTTCTCGGCCTGCTACTGGTCCGTAAACTGGAAGTCACATCTTGACGGTGTTCATGCCGTCAAGCGGGGACGTTTAGATTGGTTTTCCAATAATTTAACCGCATCTAAAGCGTTGACTGTTTGGCCTTTGTACGCGGTGTGGTCTTCACACTTTGGTGTGGGGTTTTGAACTTAGCAGTAATGCAGCTCGCTGCTGGTTCTACAAAAACATACGTGTGTTACGACTCGTGGGCTTATTTCTATTATCACATCATCAGTAATACCACCCACAATGATGACTTTACATCATTCAAAACAGTAATCCCGGACTGATTTGAAGGAGAAAGGAAACATGCGCAAGCGTCCTTTGTTCAGGAAGCTGATCCAGTTGAAAGGCTATCGCCACCGTAACCGAATCACGGCTGGGCACCGCCTACGTGAGGATAGGTGTTATGTCATCCGGTTCCGTCAACGAGGTAAAACCGGGGCCAGAGCGGCCCCGTAAAGCCGTAAAAACGTGGTCTTTGCCGCTGCAGCATGGAAACGGTGGCTTTCGCTGCGTCCGCGGATTGTATCAGCCTCCGAATGTTTTCGCTCGCCACTGAATGCCGAAGCTGCATGTGCTTCTGCTCCCGTCGCGTCCCGTAATGATATGTTTCGGCCCTCAAAATAAATTCATGTCGCAAAAGAACACGCTCCAGCTCTTGGGATCATTGCAGTAGAGCGCAGGGTGGAATCATTTTAGTTACAGTCGATGGCTCCGTAGGCATTTGACGTCAGTCCCCATGTCCTGGCGCCGCCACGGTATTAAGGCTCGTGTAAACGAACCTTCATAACATCCGACATCGCTGCAGTCTGCAGCGCATTGCGGATGATTCTCCGTTAGCGCTCGTGTTGACGGCAGGGGGAGGGGGAACATGGGTGTAGCCACGTCTCTGAAAGCCGGGACAAATCAGGGTTCTCAGGGCTGGTGTGGGATAGGAGACTGGAATCTGGAGACAACCTAACAAAGGTGTTGTTAAATGGGGAGGCGCGAAAACGTGCATGGCTGGGGTTAGATGGGGGACAAACCCCCGTTTTTGGAGAATCGCGGAGAGGCAAACCCCCGCTGCCCCCCCCCCCCCCCCCCCCCACTCTCAATGATCGCACTTGGGGACGGCTGATGTACCGCGCCTCTGATGACACCCGGTTTGACTGGGCGGGGAAGGAGAGAGAGAGGACTCCGGCCGATCGGGAGCCCCTCTGACGGCGGTATCCCCGTCCGCTTCAGGGATCAGCCTGTGGCTGTCCGTGCTGCTCGTCGGTCTCGTCTGCACGTTCTACTCGACTCTGGGCGGCATGAAGGCGGTCCTGGTCACGGACGTGTTCCAGGTGGGCGCACGCAGCGGCCGAGTGTAGGCGCGGCAGCTCCATAACTGTTCCCTGAGCACAGGCGCTATCCGAACCCGACAGGTCGCCAGTCGGCTTGGAAAGGTCAAACGCAGGTGGGCTCCGGCACATTTAGTGACTGCGTGATGAGACCGGTGATCACCTGGCGTGCAAACGAAAGCCTCAGGGGGCGTGAACTCTGCGGCCGGCCGGTTCGGATGCCGAGGTCTGCTGACGACTGCCTCTTCCGTGGTGTGCCCCCCCCCCCCCCTCCCCTCCCCCGCTTCCACCGCCTCTCGTCCGCCGCTCGACGCTGCGCGGCGGACAGCAGGCGCGCTGGCGAGAGAACTCTGGCCGCGGCGCGTCCCTCGCCCCCGTCACCAGCTCTGCGCTCTGACGCGCCGGCCCGTGCGCCCCGGGCAGACGCTGCTGATGTTCGCGGCCATCTTCGCCGTCATTGCTGTGGGCTGCGTGAAGATGGGCGGCCCGGCCGAGGTCTGGAGGATCGCCGACGACGGCGGTCGGATCCAGTTCTTCAAGTAAGTAAGGGTCGGGACCGGCCCGGACTGGTCACGTGCCGAGGGTCGGGGCCGGCCCGGACTGGTCACGTGCCGAGGGTCGGGACCGGCCCGGACTGGTCACGTGCCGGGGACGGCTGCGGTGTCTCTCCTCTGTGGCGACACACGCATATGGGTAAGGCTTTGTGTGTTTTGGGGTTGGGGGCTGCGAGAGGGGGGTTGGAGCAGTTCTTTCCATGTTCTGAATCTTTGCGCATGAAGGATACTATAAACTAAATAACACCGCGTACCAAGCAGGATTCTGGTTCGAAATACAACGACGTGCTGTATATTGCTCAGGTGTACAATCGGCGAAGCATATTTTTGTACGTCCTATATCTTACTTCGCGTGTAGCATAATGCCAGAACACTGGACCGCTATCATGCAAACCAAGCTCACTGATAAAAATGAGCGCTACAAACTTAAGTTACATACTTGTCTACATTGACGTGATCAGTGGTGGTGCACCAAGACGTGTCATCACCATCTCAAAAGGACGCCAAACGTACGCTAGCGTGGCTAGTTTTGTCTACTGTCGTTCGGGTCTACTTCTGCCCGCCCCAGAGCATCTCCAGACCTGGCTCGATTACACAAGTCGGTCACTGGGATCTCCGGCCGACGCGCGCTGGCTTCCATGCGGTACCTGGAACGATTTCGGGGTCAACCAAATTTTAAAAGAATCAGGATTAAATTGCCTGGTCGGGGACACGGGTTTCGCTTTGGTCGGTGGCGGCCCGTTCCCGCACAGGCCGGCCCCGCCGAGCGGCGGGCGGCCGCGCCGCTGGCTCAGCCTGCGCCCTCGGCTGGCACGCGCTCCACCTGATTGCAGCTTCTCGCCGGACCCGACTGAGCGCCACACGGTGTGGTCGCTGGCGGTGGGCGGCATCTTCATCTACCTCAGCCTGTACGCGGTGAACCAGGCGCAGGTGCAGCGGCTGCTGACCATCGGTCGGCTGCGCCGCTCGCAGCTGGCGCTCTGGCTGCAGTGGCCCATCCTCACGCTGCTCAGCCTCAGCACCTCGTTCGCCGGCCTCGTCATCTACGCCTTCTACCACGGCTGCGACCCGTTCCTCGCCGGCAAAGTGCAGCTTCCCGACCAGGTAGGACTGGTCGCCGTGCTGGCCACTGACCTTCCTCCATATGGGGGAGGGGGGGGGGGGGGAGAGGAGGAGGAGGTCGCGCTGGTTGTGATATTCTTGGACGGGTTTGAGTCGTGTCGTGGTCGTGACGAATGCCTTGCAGAATATTTTCGTTCGCGTGGTTTGGAGTCGGGGTCGGACAACCAGTGTCTGGTTTATATGCGCGTTGGAGCAGGTGCCGTCATCAGTGGCTAGTGGCAAGTCTCGTGAGTCGGTGCCCGTTAATTAATATTTTGCACGTGTTTCCTTGGCCACTATGTCACTGTTTCGGAGTACCGCGCAGTTTTGTATGGGTGAATAGGGTGCGTGCAGTTATGTCTAAGATGCTGGTCCGCTGGACAGGGGCCGTGCGTTGTAAGCACCTGGGCTGGTACGCTGAGCAGGGGCCGTGCTGGTACGCTGGACAGGGGCCGTGCGTTGTAAGAGGCTGGTACGCCAGACAAGGACCTTGTGTTGTAAGCACCTGGGCTGGTACGCTGGCAGGGGCCGTGCGTTGTAAGCACCCGGGCTGGTGCGCTGGCAGGGGCCGTGCGTTGTAAGCACCTGGGCTGGTACGCTGGCCGGAGCCTTGCGTTGTAAGCGGCTGGTACGCTGGATAGGGACCGTGCGTTGTAAGCACTTGGGCGGGTACGCTAGACAGGGGCCGTGCGTTGAACTCCCGGGTCAGGTCACGAGCCCGCCTTTCCACCGGCTGGAATTGCGATCAGCGAAAGCTCCCCGACTGTCAGCCTGCGGCCAGAAACCTTCGGTAGTGACTGTTCGGATGGCGCGCTGGGATCACGGAGGCGTTGATCGGTTGTTTCAGCTGCTGCCGCGGTTCGTGATGGACACGATGCGTGACATCCCCGGCCTGCCCGGCCTCTTCGTGGCGGGTATCTTCTCCGGCTCGCTCAGCACCGTCTCCTCGGCCGTCAACTCGCTGGCCGCCGTCACCGTCCACGACTATGTCCGGGTACGGCTCGCCCCGCCATTAGAAAACACGTAGCTGGGGGGGGGGGGGGGGGGGGGGGGGGGGAGGAGGAGAGTGCTTGCGCATCGCAGCGCGGTTTTCTTGTGGGCGTGTTGCAGTGTTCGTGGAATCATTGACATGACATGACAGTCGCCGCGTGCTGAAGTTCAGAAGCTCGCTGAAGTCAGCTCCCCGTTGCGTCTGCGTATTCCACTGTGTCCTCTCTCGCCCTATCCCGCGCCTCGTGAGTGTGTCGCCTCAGCGCCGCCGTCCGCTCTGGGTCTGCAGATGGTGCCGTGCTGGTCCCAGCAGCCGGAGGAGTGGGAGCTGCCGCTCACTAAGCTGCTCTCGCTCGGCTACGGCCTGCTCTGCCTGGCCGTGTCCTACGTCGTCTCCAAGCTGGGCAAGAGCGTGCTGACGGCGTCGCTGACCATCTTCGGCGCCGTCGGCGGCCCGCTGCTGGGCGTGTTCACGCTCGGCATGGCTGTGCCCTGCGCCAACCAGCGGGTGAGTACGTGCTGGAGCCAGCCGCCGGCGGCTGGTCTCCCTCGCTGCGATAGTGTCGGGCGCCGACGGGCGCGCCGCTGTTTGAAGTTTTGCGCAGAACTGAAGCAGTGCTGGACATGAGGATATACCTCACAGCCGTATTGTTGGTGTACTATTTTGGTTGTGAATTGTGCTGGGGAACGTGCGTTTCGACCGCCGCAATCACTCAAGTGCACCGCGACTTGCACTGTAGTAATTCAGATTGATCTTTGGCGGGCGCATGCTGAATTTGTAGGTATTAGTAAATAAATAGTGTTGATGCTTGGAGTTGTAATGACATCCTTCCACCTTTGAAGTAATGGCCGAAATTTTCCGGAAGTGTGCTTAACTTTCGTTGCGATATGTTGCGGAGATTTGCTCACCTTCCGTTACAAAATTCTTCGAGTTTCATTGGTGAGCAGCGTTAACTGCAGGTTTCACTTGAACGTCAGCTTAAAAGCGCAATCCAGATAAAGTGCAAGAAAATCAGCCATCCACGCGCTATCTGGCAAGTAGTGCTGCATATTTTCGGACATTTACATCGGTGTCTCACAACCAATGTGATCTGGGAGCTAAAAACGCAGGCCTCCCCTCCCGCACTCAGCGGCTAGACACGACGTTGGTGAGACACCAGCAGGTGTGGGTCATACAATTTTTAGAAGTGCATTGTCATTCAGGCGGCCGTTGTAGAGATATTTGGCCAGGCTGACGAACGCTGACTTTAAGCGCAGAAATGGCATGTGTTGACCATCTGTAATATAAATACACATGCCAATGCATGTTTTTAATGCCTGTCACAAACTTTTTAGAATTGGCACCTTTTAATGAAACACACTGCAGTTGCAATGTGGGAAAATATTTTTAATGCATGACCACTGACCTCAGGCGGTGCATGCCGGAAGAAAAAACAAACAAACTGAAAAGTCAGTAAGGGATGTTTAATAAGAATTTTGAAGACCGGACAGAGCATATCGAGAGAGATGAAAATACTGTCCCCGGCTATGTAGCAACAGTCCCATGGCTTTAAACGGCCGTGCCGTACCATACCGCGCCATGTGCCGTGCCGTGCCGTTGACTGTGTGCCGTCGCCGCCAGGGCGCTGTGACGGGCCTGCTGCTGGGTCTGGCGCTGACCCTGTGGATCGGCTTCGCACCCAAGCCCGCCCCGGTGGCTCTGCCCGTCTCCAGCGACCTGTGCTACAATGGCACGCACGTGGCCGGCGTGGTGGTGCCCGACTACGAGGGCATCGACGACGGCACCGACGACAACACCACAGCCGTACTGCTCGGCACCGCCAGCCCGCTCCAAGCCAGGTCGGTGTCCAGCTGCTGCACGCTTCGCGCTGGCGTGGCTCTAGAATTCCGTAGGCGGTCTCTCGGTGGTTCTGGGTTTGCATGTTTCTTGTCTATGGCCGGGGAATGTGCTGGTGTTTCGCGTTTCATAAAGTGATAGTTTGCCTGGCGCGCAAGCTAAGTTGTTATGAAAAGATGCTTCGCCGGATAGTACCTGTGAACCGGTGACGTGCAATAAGTTCCTTTTAGCAATGCTACCTTAACTTTGAACCGCTCAATCCTATGGTGGACGAAGTGGGTAAAATTCAAATAGAATGTAATCCGTGGTAATCGACTGCAACGGTTGAGTCCACTGGAGAGCTGTTCCTTCTCCCCTACCAAAAATGTTACGCATGGATCTGACTGAGCGCCCGCGTGAGCGAGGAGACCCTTCATGTCCCGCACAGCATCTCTCACCAACGCCCGGGTCGACCGTCTTTTCTGCTCCAGTGAGAAGTACTTCTACCTGTACCGGATCTCGTACATGTGGATCTCGATGATCGGGTTCGCGGTGACGTGCGCGGCGGGCGGCCTGGCGTCGCTGGTCGGCCCACGCGACCCCGCGGTGCCGCACAGCCTGCTCAGTCCTCCGGTCGCCTGGCTCCTCCGGCGCTGGGGCTCTCAGGTCAGTGGTGCCCAGCGCGCGGCGGGCCCCTCAGCCCTCCAGCGCTGGGGCTCTCAGGTCAGTGGTGTCCAGCACACGGCGGGCCCCCCAGCCCTCCGGCGCTGGGACTCACGGGTCAGTGGTGCCCAGCGCGCGGCAGGCCCCCCAGCCCTCCGGTCGTCTAGTTCCTCCGGCGCTGGGGCTCTCAGGTCAGTGGTGCCCAGCGCGCAGCAGGCCTCTCACCTGCCACACTGGTGCCAGGCGGCATGCAACGTTAACTGCAACGGATCTGGTAGGATGCAGGTTGAGCTATAGTGTAACTGAGATATTCAGTCTAGACTGCAGGGTGCGAAGACTTGGCTTCAGCGGCACTGTCAGTGTTTGTGTTTCCTAGCTCTGACGAGTGCAGTGCGGGAATCGGCTGAAGTGCGTGGCTTAGTGGACTTAAAGAATCTGGAGCACGGCGGTTGAAAATGACATATACCTCAGTTAGTTTCAGTTAGATTGGGTTCGGTTAAGCTGCGCAGAGTTCACAGAATCTCAGATATTCAAAGCACAAGATTGCTAGAAGCCAGACGGCGAACTGGTTCAAAATCAAACGAGACGCCCATATAGATCGGTCATGCCACAATCACTCTAGTGCTCTTAAAAGTTTGAGTTGTACGCCAGCGCGATTGTTACATTAGGAATATGTACAGGGAACAAATTTAGGACTCGTTTATGGTGTGTAGTTAGCACCAACTGCTATTTTTAACAGCAGGGATCTGTTTCTCTCCCAACAAACTTGATAATGTGGACTTATATGGCCATGAGACCATTGCGGCCGCCCTGGCACCCATGCATGACAGGCTTCGCGTGCAGGGAGATCATTGAGCTTGTTCACGAAATTTGGAAGAACTTGATGGGTCGCAGCGCGGCCTCGTGCCGTTCTGAGCCTGTTGTCGGCGATCGGTTATCGCTGGTGGCGTCTGAGGCGGCGGTCCTTTTCGCTGAAAATCGGTTTGATTTGTGGCACTTGGTAAACACGGTCTCAGCAACGCGATGGTGTCTGCCGTGATGGCTTTAAATAGCGCAAACAGATGATGTTTGTTTGGAGCGTCGTCGGGAAAGTCTGCCGGTTTTGTTGAGTTTCGTAAGACGGCTAGATGTGACCTGCCCTGTCTGTCCGGCAGGAGCCGTCCCCCAGCCGGGCGAAGCTGAACAGCGACGCTCCGACGGTCGAGCTGGAGCTGTTCGAGGCCAAGACGCGGCTCTGACCTCTGACGCTGGTCTTGCCTGGCCTGACCTGACCTGACCTGGCCTGAACTGACCCCACCCAGCGAAACAACCTGCCCCGCCGGGCGGCCGTCTCTCCTGGCAGGCCCGCCCGCGCCGCGCAGGGCTGCTGGGCTGCCGTGTCTGGTCGCGCCGCCGCTCGAGCCGGCATCTGACGTGTGCACTGGCCGCGGGCGTGCGTGGGTGTCTCCGGGGCCAGTGCGGAGCGGCGCACCGCTGTGTGCCGCTGGCCGAGCGAGAGCTGACCGCTCCCGACTGAGAGCCGCAGCAGCACGAGCCGGGCACGGTCGGCGTGCTGGCTGGGCCCCGTCCGCCACGTGTCGGGGTCCTGGCGCTGGGGGCTGCTAGAGCTAGTGCCAACTCCACAGGCCGTGTGACACACTGTGTCTGCCACACCCTCGGTTTGCCCCGCTGTCCGGCACAAACACCGGCATCGCGAGGGAGCGGGGGTGCCGTCTTCCGGCCTGCTTGGGGAGCTGGCGGTGGTGGCGGTTCTCTGTGTGGACGCATGACCTGGCGCGTAGTCGCGACGGGCGTGCGGGACGTCAGTGGTCCCCTGCCGACCGGCGGTGGTGTCGGCACTGACGGGTGTCTGGCGGGTGTTGGTGTCGTCTGGGCCGTGGACGGACCGCTGCGCGTATTCGTGTTGTGAGTCGGTACCTGTGCAGTCCAGCGGTGCCACAGATTGGTGTGGTAAGTGTTCGGTGTTTGGTCGCGGCACCTGCGCGATTGGGCGTTAATGCCGTAACAATGTGCAATAGCAAGCCGTCCGTTGTCAAGGCAACGCTAGCACTGGTTCAGTTCAGTGTCATCTCCAGCGATCTCGTGTCTCACTGCTCTCCTTAGTGTCTTGTGTCGTCGGGCGTAGCGTGTGACCTTCCTGTCGTATGATGCCGGTCTTCCGCGGATAGATGAAATGTCCGCAGCCGATCCGTCCCCACCGTACCCGCCACTGGTCAACACACACACACACACACACACACGCACGCACGCACGCACGCACGCACGCACGCACGCACGCACGCACGCACGCACGCACGCACGCACGCACGCACGTATCGTGCTGGGCTTCCACGAGCGTCTCGTCGGACGGCGAGGATGCCCAACTCACTCGCCCATGTCTGTCAGGTGAACGTGTCAATCGGCGTGGGAAGCAATGCTGCTGCACAGCTTGGATCGCGGATGGGTCTTGCGTGTCATAAGTGCGTGTGGGGATGGGAGTGCGTCAAGTCACGCACGCATACCCGCCGGGCTATATGGGGACGCAGTCATTACCACCTTTAGGATTTAAAAGGTGTTTGCCATCTCGCGAGTATATCATGACGTACTCGCGTTGGGGAAACTAGAGGTACGGGGCTCGATTCCCCGCGATGCCCCCCCCCCCCCCCGCCCCTTTCCTGACGGTGAGAGGCAGGCGACGGCACATAGTCTCAGCAGTTGAGTGCGTCGTAAAGCCCCAGTCACACGCAAACACACAGTCACACGCATACACACCTGAGTCACTCGAAGCGAGCAGTAGGCAAGCCATTGGGTTTCCCCATCTATCAACAAAGTGGGCCAGATCTAAAGTCGTCAATCTGGCACCACGGGTGACGTGGATGATCGTTGTATTGTTTGTGATATTGGCGAGGCATCACGCCGGGCGGCGAGTTTCGGTTCCCTTGTAAGTAACTCCGCTCGTCTGATTTTAAGTTTAATCTCGGAACAGCCTAGAACTGGGAAAACTGGTTTCTGGGCTGAATCGGACGCACACGTATGTACGTCGCACAGTCAAGCTTTGTCTCGAGTGTCCCCTCCTTAACACAATGTGTCTCACGCGGGCGAGGCGAACCCGTTCCGATCGTATCGGTGGCCGACGTTTAGCCCGTCAGGTCGATGCCTGGGCGGTATTCGCAGTGCGGGGCAGCTTAGGTCGCGACTCGGTGTGTTGTGACCTGCCGCGTGATAGCTTACAAGGAGCGACGCCAATGCACGGGTCGGCTGTAGTTTCGGACTGTTCATATGTTGTGTGATGTCAGCTGTGGGTGGCGGTGCCGCTCGTCCGCGGGTGTGCGTGGCGGATGCGTGACGTGTTGTGTTCCTGGTGTCGAGGACTGCGATGTCTCAGTGGACCTTAATCAGCTTGCGCGGCACTGCAATAGCATGCTGTTCCCGCCGTGAAACTCACCGGAAACTCACCGGAACCCACCGGAAACTCACCGGAAACCCACCGTCGTGCTGTACCGCTAGGCGCGTGACTCTTAGTTTACTGCTTCACGTGGAGCACTCGGGGCACTATATGCTGCTCCACGACTGCTCCGCTTAGGGCACTATAGACTGCTGCACGTTTATATTTTGCACGTCTCTTGCTCAGTGGGGCTACACGAATTTTGGGTGTTCATCTAAAAGTGTTTTCGTGTCTAGGGGGCTAACAACCAACCTGTTGTAGGCCGTGATGCCACCAGTACTAATAAAGTGCTCCTTAGACGGTACCTTTATAGCCGTGGAAGTATTCCGTGGACCATATCAATGGCAGCTCTGTGTGTTATTCTATAATGCGCTTTGTTTCGACATGTTATGCTGTAATACATGTAAACAGAAGATGACAAAGCTTGGCCTTACATGTGACTACCGGAGAGTCTGTCGCATTCGAATGCCTCATGTCTTCATAATGCGGCAATTGTTAGCAATTACCAGCTGCAGAGGCTACATGGATTGCGGTCGGCTTGCGGAATACATAATGAGGTGCCGCAGAGGCTACGTGGAATGTGGACGGCCTGCAAAATATATAATGGCGCGCTGTATATGAGGTCCCTTACCGATGTTCTGAAATCGCCGGACTTTAAATACTTTACTGTTATATCATCCCCATTTTTTGCGTACGTGGGGTAGAAGTCCATCCTACTGTTGTTTTGAAGATAGCCTGCGACACCAATGCGAATGTGCGGAAGTAAGACATTTCATGGCTGTATGAAGGCGCCAGTGAAGGACATCTTCAAGTTGTGAGGTGCATTTATTGGACGTTTCGTGTTCACCTGGCCTAAGACCCTATATATATATATATATATATATATATATATATATATATATATATATATATATATATATATGTATATGCTGAGTGAGAATTGTTTCTAAAAAAATCACATTTTCGGGGAAATAGTGAAAAGATATCCTCAACACTAGTCAGGCTTTCAAATGAAGAACAAACAGATTCACTCGCAGGTATCGCAGGCTCATTCACAGGTATGCACTCGCATAAAGCACACAGTGCTGGTATATTTACAGCAATGTAAAGTGCCAAGGACCTAGTTTGGTTTGCTTTGCCGTACGGTGATGTCTTTACGTCAATGTGCAGTTACAAGGCTTGACATAAAAAGACCGAAATCGAGACGTGTTCTAGCGGCGGTGCACTTATGGTCTCCCAGCAGCAACCGTCTGGACGGGGTGGCACGCGCGTGATATCGGGCGTCTATGTCTGCGGTCATCTGGCCATTATGCATCGCGATTTACAGCCGCAGAGCTTTGTCCCTTGCGGTAGTCCAATCCATTGTATTTGTCCATCAATCGCTTGAACACCACGCGATTTCAGTCGGTAAGCTCCGTCCTTGTCCCGGTCGAAGATGCCGTAAAAAAACTGAAGAGATTTCATATCACTTGCGCGTGCTTATTCACGACGAGAGTCGTGACCCTCGCAGTGCGGCCGCCTGAAGCCCAGGTCCCAGCTGTCGACCGCGGCTGGTAGACCTGCTGAGCTGAGCGACCATGCGGCCGTGGCATGACCGCGCCACTGCACCATCAGCCAGGCGACTCTCCAACGCCCTGAGATTCACTGCCGTCGGGTGGCGCCGCTGCGTTTCGGGCCGCGGGTCTCCGCTGCGTCGCTGGCGAAGTCGGAGCGTCGGCGGAGCTTCCCGCTCCTCGTGGCGGCGCCACGCGCGGGCCGACGGCCAGCGCGGCGGCCCGCTCGGCCCGCGCGCGCAGCAGCGCTCGCCGCCGCTCGTCGACGGCGTGCTGCTCCCCCTGCAGGCGCAGGCGCAGGGCGGCGGCCGCCGGCCGGTCCAGACGGCGCGCCACGCCACAGGGGCGGCTGCGCGCGAGCAGGCGTGGCGGCAGCGTCACTGGTTGATCGGCGCTGCTGGGCCGCGACGCCGGTCCAGCGGGCTCGGCGGGGGACGTCTGCACCGCCTGGCTGGCCGTGCGGCCGCTGTCGGCATCCGGGGCCGCACCCACCGGCGAGACGGTGCCGGGCGAGGTCTGCACCGCCCGCGAGGTCGTCGACTGACCCGGGCTCGTCTCCTGGTGTGGATTGGTCTCCGGACGCAGAGTGGTCTGTAACAGGCGTGCGGGTGTGATAGGGGGCGGCCGGTAGACAACCACTGCTAGTTGGGAGCTCGGGGCATTGGGCGCCGGTTCGTCATGTTTAGAGGGTCCTGGTGGCGAACTGCTCTGCTGTGTTTGGGCAGGTGGTGTGATTTTAGAATTGGATGATGTAATCGTGGATGAGTGTGCCGCGTTGTACAATGGAGATGGGCAGGATGGCACTGGCTGCTTCGAGAAAACAGCTGGCGATCTGTTGAATTTTGCAGAACCTTCGGATGCTGCTGCAATATTAGCGAGACATGTTGGTGAACGCTGCTGCTTCGGGGAAGGCTTCGCCAATGGCTGACATTTCGAGGAAGCCTCGGAGTCGTATTTGGAAGACGGCACTGAAGCAGTGTCAGGCTCCAGCAAAGGTGCGGAGGCGGCTATGTAATTCGGGGGAGATGTCGAGTCAGTCTTCAAACTCAAAAGTGATGCGAGCACGGTCGCCGGCAAGCCCTGCACCGTTCCGGACAGGGACGAGCCAGACGGAGTCTGCCGGTCGTCGCTCCTTGGCGACCTTTCTGCCGGACTGTCGGCCGAGCCAGACAGCTCCCGCCTCTCCGGCGTGGCCGAACGGGACGACCGGTACGAGGTCGGCGTCGGCGTCGGCGTCTGGTCGTACTCCCGCTGGAGCCGCCACTCGGCATCCGCCAGCATCAGCTTCACGCAGCGCTGTGAGTCCACCATCGGCACCACGTGGTCATCGTCGATCTCCAGCTGGCTGGGCGACAGCACCTGGTACGGGTCGGCGCCGCAGAACTCCTCCTCGCGAAGCTCGCGCGCCCGCTGGTCCACGTCCTCCAAGAAGTGGTTGAGTGACACCTCGGCGACGGTGGCGCGCCGCTGCCGCGCCCGCTCCGGCGTCGGGATCTTCGCGACGTCGACGGGCTCGTCGTCAGCCGCCTGCTGGAACCAGGTGGCGCCTCTCACGTGGACCGCTGACTCGACGGCTGGTGTCTCGGGCACTCGGACAGGCACGGAGGCCCTGCGCCCGCCGCGGCCTTGCGTTGGCAGCAGCCACCCGAGAAGGGAGCGCCGCCTGTCGTGCGGCGCCGCCTCCGCACCGTCTGCCGCGCCTGCCCCTGCCCCGCTCTCCGGCGGTGGGCAGCTGGCTGCACGGCGCTCCTGCTCCGACAGCGTTGGGGTCGCGCTGTCGGCCGCCGACGGCGATCCCTTCTCCGGCGGCAGACTCTTCCGTTCGACGCTGCCGCTCTTGCGGCGGTGAACCGCGTTGGCGAGCGTCTCGAGCGTTGGCGTCTTGTCTGGTCTGATGTCTTTAGACTGGGCCAGCTTGAGCATGAGCCGCGCTTCTTGCGGGTCTGGCACCTCCTCCTCGCTGGAGGAGCTGGTGACGGGCGTCTGCTGGCGCACGTGCTCCTGGTACGACTTCGCGTCCACCGTAGGGAAGCTCTGCCCAACTGACTCGAGGAAGTTCCACTGATGCGACAGCGGCACGTCCATGTCGAAGGTCTCGCGTATGACAGCCCAACGCCGCGCGGCCGGCGCCGGCGCCGGCGGCGCGCTGTCGACGCTGCTGCTACGCTCGTCGTCCGCTGACGAGCCCTTCGAGGCCCGCCTCCGGCCGCCGCGGCCCACTCCAAACCGCGTGCGGTGACGGCGTGCAGTGGGCGTCGAGGCCCTCTCCTCTGCATCGTCGCCCCGCTCCGGCACCAGCGGGTCAGAGAAGTGGTCAGCGGCGGACCGGTGGCGTCCCGTCAGCCGCTGGAACCAGGGACGCTCGGCGGCCGGCTCGTGCGCGAGCGGCGCGCTCCGGTGGTGCGCGTGCGGCCAAAGGCGTAACCTGGACGGCCGGAGACGCTTGTGACCGGTTGGGGAGTGCGGCGACGCCTGCGGAACCTCATCTGGCCGGGCGGCGGCCTCCGGATTGTGAGACCGCTCCGGCGCTGTTTCGGCTCGCTGCTCCAGCTCAGCAGCGTTGTCGGTGTGGTCTCCTCGCCTCACGCGCGTCCTTGACGGCCGCTCGCGCGCGTCAGCCTGGCGCCGCTCCGTGCCGGCATTCTCACGGCTCGCATCGGCATGGTCCTTCTCGTCGGCCATCTCGGGGATGATGTCCAACGGGCTAGCGGACCGAAACAGCTCCGGCGCCAGCAGCTCGTCCGGCAGCGGGTCGTCTCGACCGAGGTGAGCGGACGACAACACCTGACCGGTGGCGTGCTGCCCGTCCGGCGGCGACGCCCCAGCCTTTTCCCGGTCTCGGCTGGACGCCTCGAACGGTTGGAAGCCGCCGTCTTCGTCCCGCCAGGCTGGACATGTCGAGGCTGCCGCTCGTAGATCGCACGGAGTCCGGGACTGCACCTCTCCCTGCAGTCACAACAGGCAGATCACCTTTCCCTGCAGTCAAAACAGATAGATCACCTTTCCCTGCAGTCACAACAGACAGATCACCTTTCCCTGCAGTCACAACAGACAGCTCACTTCTCCCTGCAGTCACAACAGACAGGCCACCCCTTCCTGCAGTCACAACAGACAGATCACCTCTCCCTGCAGTCACAACAGACAGCTCACTTCTCCCTGCAGTCGCAACAGACAGGTCACCTCTCCCTGCAGTCACAACAGACAGATCACCTCTCCCTGCAGTCACAACAGACAGATCACCTCTCTCCAGTCAGAACAGACAGCCAACGATAGCGGCGAGCACGTTTTTTAATACTGATGAAGCGCAGCACAGCGCGCGAAGTTCTTTACACGCATCGCAACAAGTATAAGTATGTGGTGTTGTTCAGGTCTTATCTACGCCGCAACTTGACACTAAACCGGGTGAACTAGTAGTCGTCAGCAGCCGCAGCGTGACAGCACCGGCGCATAGCACACATACAATACCGGACACGGCTCCACGGCTGGAAAGCGGCCGTTGTTTAAGCAACTGATCACGGTTTCCGAAGAATCAGGCGCTTTTTGTGAAAAACTTGCATGCGGATCGAAGGGCGAATGAATGTCACGTATGTTTCCACATATAAACGCGCTTACGGTCGAGCAAGTTTTGCTTTTTAGCCGTTTGTACAACGGCCTGAGGTGTGTTTTCAGCAAGCTGACCGACCAACGGCTGATTTCAGCCGGTTGCCTCAGTCTTCTGAAACAGAAGCTCCGCGTGTCGGTCATTGCTCATCTGCATGTGCCCCGAAGGCGCCCGATTTTGCATTCATTTAACTCGTGCGTTTACCACCGTTGGGGCCTTTCGGCGCCAGAGCCGACTGCGGGCCCTGACGTACCTATAGGCTCCACGATCAGTGATTGGCCTGGTGGGCAGCGGCTGACAGTTTAAATGCATTTGCACTCGCCAAATGATTGCGATCAGAGCGCGTTCGCTAGCAGTTGGCCGGGCGGTCGCCATGTCGCAAACGAATACAAAGGAACAACGGCTCAAGAACTAACAGCGGGCGAGCGCCAACCCTGATTGTAAGTGCTATGTAAACCGGTTAAAAGCTTAAGATGCCGTGTGCCAATGAACAGCATTTACCATGCCCCGCTACACATGTCTGCGAGCTGCTTGGTTTGGTTTTGTTTAGCAGGGACTAGAGCAGAGGAGGCCACGAATCCTCTAAACCGTTAATCAGTGAATTGGATGGTTGATTTTTCGTGACGGATATACACTTTCGTTAACGTCGAAAAGTTATTACGTGCACATACACTTCCGTGTCCACCCGATAGCCTGAAACCGCTGATTTTCTTTGAGAAATCTGCTATGGTCTTTTGAGCGTAACACTCTCTCGGGTGGGAGTTAATTTGATTTCCTCCTTAGGTTTTTCTGGGATGGTTTCCGAACCGCGATGCATAGCTATAAACAACTGAATAGCAGATTGTTAAGCATTACAATTTAGAGATACCTTATCAGGTCGCTGACCTACGGCAGGCCAAAGTCAGACCATGGACCCATTACAGAAAACTTCTAGGAAATCGTTCAATGTGATGCAACAACGGAGTGTTGAACGAAGCCACACATCTCTGAGATAGCTTCTTTTGCCACACAACAATTGCAATAAGAAATTCCATTAAACTAGGATCAGATATGAAATTCAGACCATGGTAGGTAGGAGCTCATAGCGTAACAGGAATGAAGGGGTTTAGCCCCTAGGGATATGAGTTATGAAGAGACGACGGTGAACGTTGGTAGGTTTCATGTTCACTCGTTTGGGTGTGGGGTGGGAGCTGGCTCCTAACACTTCCTGATTGAAATACTGTGTACGCTTTTTGAGCCACGTTCTTCTTCAATACCGGCACCAAGTCATAACTGACACCTAACACCTTGAGACCCTAGAAACTACATTTGACTCTGAGCCAATAATTTGTATTTAATTTCATACATTGTCATGAACTCAAATCATATTATGATTCTGCTTTATTGTATTGCCGAATGAGGGTAGGGTGGGGCTGTTTCCTGGCACCTTTTAATCAAAATCCTGTGCTCGTAACTTGAGCCGCATTCTTTTCAATGACGGTACCTAATCATAAGCCATATAACAAGTCTTGGGACCTCAAAACTACTTGACTCAATTTACTAAAAAAAAAACTACTTGTTACACCCAATTCATCTCGTTGTCAACAACGTTTCGGGCAATTGTCTCTCATTCCGTGTTGTGCTCTACAGAATCAGCCCATTCATACTGCGTGGTGTATTTTCACCATACAGTTACTGTCAAAACAAAAGCCATGAGGGTTTTTACCTAAACAATTAGACGCAAGGTGCCATAACTGGTTCCATTAGCAATCTTCTGTCGATACCTGTATGATAATGAAACGCAGATCATGCGTTTGAAAACAAAAGCTTTTTGCATATCTAACGGCGCCAATGCCCCGAGCAGGACGAGCGCGGTGGCGCTGTAAGCAAGCTGCGCCGATACTTGCCACACGGTGCCCAGGGTGCCACAGCTCATGGCGGCGACATTCGTCTGCTTTGATGCCTATGACCTGTGGCAGGCATGTATCCAAAGTTTGGTAGACGCTTTTGACGATGAGTTCGCTCACAAATGAGCTTTAAATTTCTTACATCACTGACAGTATTGGAAATCCGGATGAAACGTAGGCGTCGTAGGAATAGTTCTGGGCGTTCATCATGGGCCGGAGGGTGATGCAGCCGCTATGGTGGAAAAGCTTCCCGGGAAGTGGTGGAGGAAGTGGGCATAACATTACACTGAGGGCTTAAGTTAGCTGGACTAGAAGACACCTGGACAGCTGTGGATCTTGTGAATCCCGAATCCTGAAAATGGGGATTCGAGCTGCGAAAATTAGGATTCGAGTCCTTAAAGCCACTGCCGAATACTGAACTCCATTATAGGAATGTTCAAATCAATGCATGCAGATATGCTCTAGGTGCAAATTTTTTCAAAACACTGGACGTTGTGCATACACACACACACACACACACACACACACACACGCATATATATATATATATATATATATATATATATATATCCCTGCAGGCTTCGTGGCTCAATTTCAAACCCTGTAAGTTTTGTGTCGCAATGGCACTGACGGTCCTTGAGGCTGCAGACAGGATGGGACGGATCTGACACTCCACCCTTTCTGTAACGCGTATGACGTACAGAAATCCTCGAATGGGAACGTGTTGAAGCCCAGCCCCATCGGGCGTAAGATGGCTAACGAGGCCAGCTTTCGCCGGATGGCACCTGTACCCATGTATCGAAGCTTTCCCCGCAATGGTTGCACGCCCGCACAGTTCTTAGCCCCCTTATAAGTTGTCTTCCTATGTCTCATGCAAACTAGCATTTAGGGGTAAGGATGCGACACCGTGCCCACCTTGTTACACTCCAGAGACCTCTCCACTACGCATGGTATGGATGAGTCTATAACTGGTCCATGCCTCACCAAAAACAAAACTTCTGCACCTGCAAGGCTTGGACCAATGCCTGGCTCAACTCCGACTCAACAACTCAACAACTTCCCTGCTTTTGGCCGAGTTAGAAATGCAGTACGCATCATTGGCAGAAGCGTTGAACACAGTTTGCCAGGAACCGATGCAATTGGTTTAGGAGTGGGAACTAAACGGCATTAAGTCTCGAAGTTTTGATAGGAAAAATCGAACGTATTCTTTTCTATTTCAGTCAAGTTGAGCCTCGCATCTGATTACAAATCCCAATCCACCTACCATGGAATTTGAATTTCAAATTGTAGCGAATGCTGAGATCTAGTCCATGACCTTTCAGAAAAATAGTAAGATTGTGAAGTGCACGCACACCTAGCAAAGGAATTCCAACGCGATGATTGGACGGCAGATGATACAGTTTAGTTATTTCCGCCATTTGAACGGTTTTAAGAAACCTTTAAATCGAATGCTGGAAATCAAGAACAAGTTAATGTACAAACTAAGTTACACTTGCGCAGCTTTAGTTAGTAGTTTAACGGGATAAATTCAATTTGGTAAACTCACTGAGTTGAGGAGAAACTTTAACGGATCTAAATTTCCGGGTTAATTTTGTCCACCTCTGGATTATAACCGATTTGTCCAACCCTGACAAATTCAGCAAATCCAGGGCTGCAGAATGAAGGGACGAGGTCAGTGTTGAGCAAGACAGCGGTCATCTGGGAGTCCCCCACTATCAAGCCTCATTCCGTGCAGGAACCCTTCTTTGGGCTTCGTCGGGCTTCGGGGCCCTTCTCCGGGCGCCCGGACATCAGGGCATTCCGTCAGGGCATCACTTGAATCTGATCGTGACTAACGGCCGCAGGTCGCCGGCTTTGGAGTCAGGGTGTTACCGGGACTCGGGATGAAGAGGTGAGGATCGGTCCTGCGCACCGCTAGCTGGCCGGAGAGCAGCGCGCGACGACAGTGGCAGTGGACTTAGGCGCGCTTCGACTTCAGGGGGGCGTTGTCCCACAGAGGGGAAACGACTGCAGTCCAGATAAGCACGCGTGAGGCGCCTGCGGTCGCTGTAGAGCTCAGACCGCCTGACGCATTACGACTTCCTCCAGCAACTGTAGGACGCCACCGTGCAAACCGTCACATATGACGGTTGCCGCCGTACATATCAGCTTACTGCAGTAAGCAGACGGCGACTGTCACCGAAATATGACGCGGAACGGCCGGCCGTCGGCAAAACTTCCCGACGGCACACACACGCTCCACCAACCTTTCGCCATCAGTTAAGTGGATTAGTTAAGTTGAAAGTTGATAATTTGACATAAGTGAAGTTGAAAGCTGATGATTTGACAAAGGCAGAGTTAGGAGTTGATGAATCGGCTCTAAAATAGAACGGACGCGACGCGGCGTACCGTTGCGATGGGATACCTGCTCCTTTATTTTCCTCTGGAAGTCACTATTTAGGGTCAGTGTCGGAAGCCCTTATATTTGTTATCACCTATGTATCGTAACGCCCAATATATCAAAAACATTAATGCTTCACAACGCCTAACGTATCGTAGCACCTTACGTGCCGTAACCCGTACACTATCGCTACTCCTAACATAGCATAACCCCTAATGTATCCCGACTCGGAATGTATTACAACACCTAATGTATCATGACGCCTAGCGTATCGTAATCCCTAATACTACGTTTTCAAGCAAAAGGTTTGATACATTACATTAGTGTGATACGCCACATTGCATTGTGATGTGTGTGATACATTGCGTAAGTGGGAACATTTCATGTAATGCAATAGGTGGTTCGAACATAAAGTGTAACTTATGAGGCATTAGTGGTCACGAACATAACGTGTCAAGATAATCCTCTGCCTTTTCTTGTACTGTTTTCTGAAACCCGTTTTAAGAGACCCTCCTACAAAGCCTCCACGTTTCAGTTTCTATTTAGAACGGCTCGGGAACTAGAAGTCGAACACCATGGGGATTTTTTTTCTAGCGTATCAAACCCCGTACGGGGGCGCCCCCGGGTGGCCGCTAGCGGTCTGGTGACACGGTCGTGCCTAACTTCGTGTCGCCGTATACAGCTTCTTGCCACTCTAACGTCCTCACAGACCTCCCGCGCTTGACTCGTGTGCTGTCTTTAGATAACAACTAACGGGTAGGCCAGCTCACCGCTAGCGGGCGCCTAACCATCCGTCCTCCGATACGAACTACGCAGTACTCACACCCCCTCTGAATCACGCAGCCCCGCGCGGCCCGCCGGCCACCTTCACCTGTCTCGAACGCTCACGGGGCGGAAGAGGGGCGTCCGAAGCCCAGCGCAATGGGTTGGTTAAACCTACCACAAGGCTGCACTACCCGGGGCGAGTTTCAGCTTTATCACACCTTTCGGTGCAGATATATCGCGAGTCAGGCAGTGCACACATATTTCAATAAAACGGATTATGATATGCGTCTGCAGGTTGACCAGGGGAAAACGAAAATGAAAAAGCGGCCATTTCCTCATTGTTATTCAAGTAAATGTAGGCCGAAAACATTGTTTTGTCCGCAATTTCGTCACCTGGTGTAAATCCGTCGGGGTCATTGACTTCTGTTGACCTCTGTTGACCTTGCCTGAATCTGTAGCGTTATACTGTATATGTGGCAATGATACTGAACTTACGCGCGTTTGAAGTTTTCTATGTTCCATCAAAGTTAGCCAACAATGGTATGACAAGAGCAATTTACAAGAGCAATTTACTGCCACCGATTGGATTATTACCACCAATATGGATGATTTCACCACCAATTTAACGAGGCCGTTGAACGTAGTGCCTACTTAAGTCGCCAAATACATGAAGGAATGCCTAGAAACAACAATTTTATTTACCAGATTGACTGAGGATCCGTCAAATGGATGAAGGAAATCAACAAGATATAGTAGGAAATCAAGAATTGGTACCAGAATCTAGTATATTCAGCTCACCAGCAAAAGCGACCATCTCTTAAACCAAACTGGCAGCAATTCACGAATGTTTTTGGGACGAAGAAGCCATTATCTACTTTGGAGTTGCTTTCTGAGAACGAATCGCTGACTATCACCGCGTTGCGTGCATACCTACACGTCCAGGGCGCAGGCAGCTGGTGATAGGGGGGGGGGGGGGAGGGGGAGGCACAGGACATATCTCACGCTAGACCCTGCGCGGCCTGCTGGATCGTCGGCACAGACTATCGAGGACCCGATTGAAGGGCCGAAGAGCTGGCCGGAGGACGACCCCGGGGCGAAGGTCCGCTCTCAGAGGTCAGTCAAAAAGACTCGTTGCGCCTGTCGGGGGTCCCCGGGACGACGGAAACGCCTATGTAGGTCCGAGACCGCCAACGCTGAGCAGCTGGCTCTGAGTCAGCGTAGACCCAAGGGCCCATTAACGAAGCAAGTACAGGCGCCTATGTAGGTCCGAGACCGCCAACGCTGAGCGGCTGGCTCTGCGTCAGCGTGGACCCAAGGGCCCATTAATGAAGCAGGGACAAGAACGGTGTCCGCGATTGTTACTGAAGGCCTCCTGCATTGGCGGGGCCCTTGAAATAGGCTCCCCTGTCAGGCACTCTGTGCCCTGTATCGAGGCATAGAGTGCCTGATAGTGGAGCCTGTGTCGGCAAGGGGCCCCTGGTCGAGCAGAGACACGTTTTGCTGAAGAGAAACATGACGGGACCCTGAATGTCAGAGAGCCACTGGCGTTGGTCGAGGTCCTCCTGCCTGACAAGCAATGGAAACAAAACAAATGACACTGAAATTATCACAGTGAGACAACAAGAGGCCTTCAGGGTCCCTGGGCCCATACTCTAAAACGGACCCGGGCCCCGTTTGAGCCGGAGGCCGAGAACTCTAGCTACGGTCCATAATCCGGTCCGTTTTATTGTTGTCATAATTGTCTTTAAAACCCTTTTGATTTGATGATTTTGAGATCAGAGCTCACGCAAAACATGATTGTTGTGTGCGCTCTAGGACCCCACCTTCCTATTGTGAAATTTCAATTCTACAGCAGATCTTCATGAAAAAGTTGATGGTCCTGTAATCCTCGGCACGGTCCCCCTGCCCTTTGACCTTCCTGACATTGAACAGCCGCTGCCACCGGCCGCAGACGATTCAAGCCAGAAGTCAAATGGCGAGCGCCCACAAACGCAGCCAAGATCGAGAATGCAGAGGCCCACCCCCACCACACCTACGCGGTGAGTTTTCACTGGTATGCTCCCCATCCCCCTCCCTTTCCGTGTTTTATTAGCCCGGATGGACCCCTGCGAGCACGTGCAAAGCGACTTGAGCCCACATACTATCACGGGTGGGGTGGGATGGCCGGGAGCTAATACCAATGAAGCTACGGAGGGCGACAAGCCGTGGCTGTTCGGGGGAAAACAGGCCCCTTACATTTCGTTCATTTGACAGGTCGGGGGAAAGACACGTTGGCAAAAAAGCGGTCCATTGAATACAACCGTCAAAAGACTTTCGGCTGTGCGCATTTCGGTTGTTTATCCGAATACCGCTTGTGGGACCCCAACAGCCACAGGAACATCCAAACGGCCAGAGGACTCTTCTATAGTCAGAGTGGTCCCTCATTACACAGAAATGCCCCTGATCAGCTGAAAAGACCACTGAGAGACCAGACGGGCACAGGACGGAGATCCCTGAGGGCTGAGCCGTCGGCGTCCGCAAGACCCTCAGCCATCCTGCTCCGCTGACAAGACCTGGAGTTTCTCGAGGATAGTGAAGATACAGCTACAGGACTGGCGATAAAACGTGGCTGGCCGGCCAGCGAAGCCCCCGGGCAGTCAGAGGGAAGCGGCATGGGTTCACACGACTAACGGCCTCTGGTCAACGCCATCGGACAGACGGACAGACATCGGACAGACATCTGCTGGTCCACATCAGCTGCCAGATTCCTGAGAGCCCGGCTACTGATTCACGCCGTCTAGGAGCCCAGACTCTCGCCCGGTCTCCTTCCGTGAGCCCCACCGCACGTCCGTACCGACGGCGGCGAGCCGGACCTGGCGTCCACTCACCGTTGACGAGCGGCTGGCCGACGACTCGTCGTGCTGGAAGGCCGGGTTGTGGAGGCCGTGCCGCGCAGGCCTGCTGCGGCCGGGCGCCATGGCGCGCGCGTGGCGCAGTGTCCGCGCTGGCGGGCACAGGCAGTCGCAGCAGCCGAGCCAGCCGCTCATGACGTGGCAGGCCCTGCCGAGACGCGCCCGCCCGATATACCGTATCGCACGGCTCGGCCGCCTATCGCGCGCCTACCGCTAACCCCGCCACAACTGGGAGCTGGGAGCGTCGCCGGCCAGTGCTTTGGGCCACGGGTGCGAGGCTGGCGGAAATAAGACTGTGTGTGTCATGCCCCAGTATGGCTGACGTTCCGCTGGGTGGGCGTCTTAACAAAAGTCCTGGGAGATGTCCTGAGCAAGAACAGTTGCTCCGTTTTAAAGAGGTGGGAGCAGTTTCAAAACAGAGCTTCAAAAGTTTTTTGCTAAAACGGTCAGTTGCGCTTCTCCATACGCAACTGCACACATGAATGCAGTGTCTGGTATGGCAAATATGGCAGCGCCCGCAACGGCTTTCACTGAAATTAGCCAATTCTGACATCTGGCCCTTGAAAGACCTTCATTGCGGCATCTCTGCCAGAATAATTTTTCTCTGCATTTTCCAACGTTGGTTGTTCATGTGTGCAGGCCTGAGACAACACACCGCATTCTAAACAACGCTGTCTCAATCACTTCAAACGCATGACGCTCAGTCTAGCTCGGTAATTCTAGTCTTAAAAGATGCAACATGTTTTAACTTGAAGGGACGCCAGCATGCCCAAAAGACAAAATTTAACGTAAACAACAGACCGTACACGTGCACTCTGTTCCACATTCAAATGATCAGATTACGATCACATCACGTAATGACCGGAACGCATCATGTTCGCTCATACAACTAATGGGGCTTCAAGTCCCAACCAGCCTGAGATTGAAAAGAGAAGACTCACCGACCGGTGGCACCTCGGCGTATGTCACATTGTTCCCGTTGTGTTGATGCGCCAGCACCACTAGCTTGCTGACCACCACCCTTTGAACCGATGTAAGGACTAACATGTTCTCTGTCGAACAGTGTGTCGGAAAAGCCCGCCATTCTCGTGCCTCTGTCGGACGAACTCCCTCCGCTGCCGCCAACGGCGCTGGTTGTACCTTGCCGAATGGACCGTGCCACTTGTGGCTGCATTGCTAGGCGGAAAATCGATATCGAAGCTGAGGGTGTCGCGGATTGTATTTGACATCTGGATTGATTTATACGTTCGCTCGAGGTAAGCTGCAAAGGGAGCATTATTTTCACCGGCAAGGCCAACGAAGTCTGGCTCTTTTAACTCCTTTCACCTGGTCTCCGAACACTTCGTAAAACCTGGGTCGCTTTACGGACGTCTTCCTCGATGTACTCGCGATGGCCTGTTTACCAACCACACAAACTGTGCAGTATACATGCCTCTTAGCCTCAGTAAGTCAGCTGTTTCGAGTTCGATGGCTGAAGAGATGGTAGGCCAAGGGCAAAACTGAATGGAGAGGCATTGCCCCTGCCAGCATGCCGAAGACTTCTTCATCTGGCGTGTCCGAGCCGCCGCCGAGTGATGGGACAGCGTGTGTGCGGTGCCGACATCTCTCGTCAGTACCAACACCGTCGCAACTTATCCGGCTGCGAGCGAATATTTGCGGGCTGAGAATGGCCAGCCAAAGACCAATAGGCATAACAGCAAATGCTCAAATCCAGTTGCTTTGAAGTAGCACCCAAAGGATGAGCGTTTCCAACAGGGGAATTTAGCTATTTTTGTTTGATTAGGTGGGCGTTTGTTCGGTCACGACCGTCAAACATGGACAGCAATGTGATGAGGCGAGCGACAATGCACTACTGCGCCGCCATCAGGTCTGAGCCGGCATGGACACACCGGGACGACCGTGGAGCCATCTCGCGGCTGCCGGCGGCACCATGCTCACGCGGAGTGTCGCAAGGTGGACGGGCGGGCCTGCCCATTACCACGCGCGACGGTAAACCAACGGAGCGAGCTCATGCGAGGCCCGCTGCTGAGGATCGTGCTCGGTCGGGTGCCACCAACGGGCATCTTCAGGCCTACACCGTTCATGTTCCACCAGGTCCACTGTCGCCGGGCTTCTCCAGCACCGTCAAACACGAATCCCACATTAGAGATTTAATCATCAAAAGCATATGGCTGTTAGGTATCAAACTGCAATATTTGGCAATTGCACCACAAACATATGACACTATATACATGAACTATTTACACTGGATGAATGCAACTTGTCAGTTCATTGGAATTGATCACGGAAAACTAATCGTCACATCAAACACTAATAATTCACATGCGCACAAACAGTTGACTAACGATCTGCTCAGACTGCTGACATAAATTCGATTACGAGTTCACCTGTCACACAGAACTCGTAGGCGATCGACACATGACACCGCCCGGCCGCAATTGATCTGTCTCGCCGGAAGGGTTCGCCGCCCGTTGATCCGTCTCGCGGCGGGCCGCCGCCGCACTGGCCGGTCGGCCGGCCTGCCGGAATCACAGCTCGCGCGCCGCGCGTCACACGACTCGCCGTCGCTAAGCGACCGCACGTGCGCACCGGTGGCCGGCCACCGGCGCGCCAGTCCTCGTATAAATAGCGCCGGCGCCAGCTGCCGCGCTTGTTCGCTGGCTGCGGTGGCGCGCCGCGCTCACACCACTTTGGCGTGGGCGGGCGCGTCCGAGATGTAGGTGTAGTCGGCGTCCGTCTCGGCATAGTCGTCGTCAGCGTCGGGCCGCGGCCGGGCCGGCGTGCGCACCGGCTCCGTGATGCTCAGCCGCTCCAGCGGCTCCGACTCCTGGTCGCCGTCCTCCTCGTACAGGCTGCGGCGCAGGCGGGGTCACCGTCAGCCGGACGCCGACCAGCTGGCGTCCCCACCATGCCCGGAGCCCCCACGGTCTCGACCCACGCAGTGGTGTATGAGGGTCGCCGTCAGCCGGACGCCGACCAGCTGGCGTCCCCACCATGCCCGGAGCCCCCACGGTCTCGACCCACGCAGTGGTGTATGAGGGTCGCCGTCAGCCGGACGCCGACCAGCTGACGTCCCCACCATGCCCGGAGTCCCCACGGTCTCGACCCACGCAGTGGTGTATGAGGGTCGCCGTCAGCCGGACGCCGACCAGCTGACGTCCCTACCATGCCCGGAGTCCCCACGGTCTCAACCCACGCAGTGGTATATGAGGGTCGGCGCGGACGGTGCGCAGAGGTTGAGACATGTGCGCCCCTCCCCAAAGATGAAGACGCCAGCGGCGACGAAACAAGCAGCTGGTTCCCCGCTGTACACCGACATCGCGACAGTGAAGCACCAGTCTGACTGGCACCAACTGCCAGCGAAGCACCAGTCTGACCGGCACCACCCGTCAGCAAAGCATCAGCCTGACTGACTCTACCGTCAGCGAAGCACCAGTCCGACCGGCACCAACCGCCAGCGAAGCACCAGTCTGACCGGCACCACCCGTCAGTGAAGCACCAATCTGACCGGCACCACCTGTGTTGCACCACGGCACCACCTGTATGGAGCGCGCCAAGTGTCTCGCCCCCCCCCCCCCCCCGCCCTCCCCGGGATTGCACAGTGCCCCGGCCGAGCCGCGGGGCCTCGCTTGCGGCGTGGTGGGCGATGCGCACGGAATCACGTGGGCGCGTGTTTTGTGTTTTCATGCGTCTCAGGACGGCACGGACGGTAAACTCAAACTTGGTGTCATGTTAATCAATGCTGTCAAATGAGCACAATAAATTTGTGTTTGGACTGCTTTGTTACCATCCAAATCATTCCTGGCAATAATGGCGTATGGAACGAAAAGAAGAAAAACGAATAAAAGCACAAAACAAATGTTGTTATGCACACACACCAAGGCGCTTCATTAACATGTACACGTTGGGGTTTAAGTTTTTGGGTTAAGTACCATGGGTACTTACTTAAGCTAAGGCGTATCTTCAACAACAACCCTGCAACGCATCATTTCCGAATTATATACTTAACCGACAACACAGAGCTCATGCTGAAACGAGCGCTCTACAACAGCGTCCCCGATCCCAACCCTCTCGTTTGATTGACTACTGTCTGGCAACGAGACGCGCCCGTTGGCTTCACAGATTACCTACGCCAGACAAAAACATCTAAGATTCATGATGCTCATGGAATGACCTCCTCTATGGGAGCAAGACATAGTCGAGCCACTAAGCAGCGCAAGCGAAAGCGCCGCCCGGCCACTCGAGCGCGCGCCAGTAACTCACAATTCGGGATCCTGTTCGGCCGCCCCCTCCTCAGCCACCAGCAGCTCGTACTCCTCGGCGGCGAACCGGTCCCAGTCCGACATCTGGCGGCCATGGGACACACTTCAGTCGCAGCCACCGCCGCCAGAGCCGCACGGCGGCGGGGCCGGACGCACCGCCACGGTATCGGCCGCCCCATCCGCCCAGTAAAAGGTCACGTCCGCCATTACGACAATTGACCTCTGGTTAAGAACAGTGATGTTCGCATCCGTGACCGCCCCGCCTCGAAACCTTAATCGACGCCAAGGGCAGGCCTGGCTGGCGACCAGATCTCCCCAATCACATGAAATCATTCAGCACCAATTGCTCCCGACACAGGAACCGTAGCAAGCTACCACACCATAACCCATCGGGTGAACCCCGCCACTGCGCTCCGGCCCACGGTGGTAGCGCAGGGCAGAGGCGGCACCCACCGGCTGGCCGGGCTCCCCGTCCCGCTGCATGGCGAACGGGTCGCGCTGGTCGTGCTCCAGGTACTTCTCCAGGTTGAAGAACGTGTCAAAGAAGATGTTGGCCATCTGGCACTGCTTGAGGTCGCTGAGCGCGATCTTGCCGTGTGTTTCGGGCTGGACCATGTCCAGCATCTGCGGAGCGAGTGCGACCCTCATTGCCGGTTCAGCGTCACTGTCGTCAGCGAGAACACGCGGTACGCAGGGAGTGACTGTCACGACCGGGTGTCAACAGGGCAAGACCCTATACCCGTATCCAATCGGCTTACTCCGAGTAGCAACGCGTCTGCATGAGCCGCCACACGGTCCTGTGTAACCATTGTCGCAAAAACGAACACTCAGGCGCTGGCAAACCCAGTCCCCACTGTCGAGCCAGCAGCAGTCGCTGTCGCCAGACGTATTCATGAAGCGTGCCGCGTTCGTTAGGACGGATGGGGCCCGCTCGCGACCACATCGGACCCGGTCGCCGCCCGGACACGGACCCGTGTCACGACTCCAGCACCCGGAGCGCACGGCCACCGCCGGGAGAAGCCGTCACTGCCGCCCGCTCACCCAACAGAGGCAGTCCTCGAACGGCAGCGTCTCCATGCCGAGCGCCTCCATACGCTGCAGCTGCTCCTCGTAGAAGTACTCCAGCTCGTACATGGAGAGGAAGCCGTCGCCGTCCAGGTCCATACACCTGCCGGGGAGGTGGGCCAACGTCAGCGGGCACGGCCAGATGAGACGGCGGCGGGGCTAGAGCACCGCGCCGTGCCCGGCGTTGACACCGCCGCCTGACACGTCCGCAGCTCCGCCAGGCCAGACGCCGACGCGGCGCGGCGGACGTGAGCGGACGGCAGCGGCGAGGAGCGGCGCCCTCTCCGCGGGAGAGCAGCGCCCGGCACCACGCGAGGCGCGCCGCCACCGGCGGGTGACGCGGCGTCCCGCGCCGTCAACACGTCGGCACGGTCGGCCGGGCGCGTTTCCGGTCGGAAGGCGTCTGTCTCCGAGCGCACCCGCCTCCGGCCGCGCGCCGATAACGCCGCCAGACGCCACAAACCGCGCGGCCTTGTCAACTATCTGGACGGCGCGGGCGCTGACCCGGCCGGCCGCGGCGCCTTCCGGCCGGCGCGCCGAGCCGCTCACGGCGGCAAAACAACGCCAGCTGTGGCCAATTTCCGTCAGACGGGCCGCACGCGACCATGCAGACTGTCGCACAAAGAGGCGGGCGACGGCGCAGACCCGGGATGGCTCCCCATCCGGGGACCTGCCTCGATACCAGCCGTTTTCCAAAGCTGACGGACGAGCTCAAGCTGACGGCACTGGACCACACATCACAGCAAAGCGTCTCGGCGCGCGTCCCACCAGCCAACTCGCTTCCGCATCGTCGCGCGAAGTCGCGCCGGTCCCACACCCCACCACAGCTCAGCCGGCTGTGCTGCGGACCGTCGCCTGGCCGGCGGGCGCCGTCCGTGGCCGCTGCGGCAGCCGGCCCGCCCGCCCGACGACGCTCACCTGAACCAGTACTCAATGGCCGTCGGGTGCTTCTTGTCCTCCTCCGAGAGCAGGAACCACACGAACTCCATGTAGGTCATCTTCTCCTGCCTGCGCGCGCTGCCGCGCGTCACCGCGCCGCTGAAGATGCGGTCGATGATGCGCGACGAGACGGCTGCAACGATCGCTGGTTCACCATCATGTGCCACGACCTCGGCCTTCAGAGCCACTCGGCATTCTGAGTGACAATCATCCGGCACTCTGCGTCGCGTCGACAGCAGGCCCTCTACAGCAGCAGGGCACTCCACACCCCGGTGGGAGGTCAACAATCCTAGGTCAACAGACCTAGGTCAACGGTCCTAGGTCACGGCCGACCGAGGGTATGCGACGTTGCTCGGCCGCCTTTGCAAAGGCTCTGTTCAGGCGAGCGCGACCGATCCCCGGGAGCAGTAAACAGAGGTGCCGTGGTACGTCGGTACGCCGGCGTATTTACCGTGGTCGTTGTGCCGAGCCACGTCCGACTTGTCTATGAGCAGGTCGTGATCTTTGTCCAGCTCCCAGAACTTGCAGTAGATCACGTAGAAGTGCTCGTACGAGAAATAGTCTGTGATCTGCAAGACAGCCACACACATACACATCACGAGCTGGACAGGCGATTACGATTCCGCATCTCCCTAGTTTACGGAGGGCGTCTTGCATCGAGCTCGGACCCGCCGGCCGGGACCCCGCGGCTCTGCAGAACCGAGGCGCGGCCGACGCCAGGCCCGCCGCGGGACGCGGGGGGGGGGGGGGGGCGTCCGGCAGGGGCCCGGTGCCGCGCCACGGCCGTGTGCCGGCCGCCACCGCCGCACCCACCTGGTTGATGTCCTCCTCCTGCTCCAACAGCTGGATCGTGCTGAGCAGGTTGGAGCGGCGCAGCTCCGGCACTGTGATGCGGCCGCTCCACGAGCGGTTGACGCAGTAGAAGATGCGCGCGATCACCTGCGGCGGGCGGCGGCGGGTCAGACGGCGAGGCGGAGCCGGCGGCCGGGTCCGGGACACTGGCCCGCCAGTGCCGGTGACTCGGCAGCGGCCGCCGCCGTCCGTCAGCCGGCCGGCCGGACCAGCAGCCGACCAGATAGGTTTGACACGCCCCCTGTCGCTATCACAGAGTCCGACCCGACCTGACCTGACCTGACCTGACCCAGTCAAGCCCGCCCCGCCCCAACCCGACCTGACCTGACCCGATACGAACCGGCCTGATCGGTCCCTCACCGTGTGCACGTAGCGGCTGTGGAACTCGATAGCCTCCTTGAGGAAGTTGAGGCCCGGGTGCGTCTCGACCACATCCTGCACCAGCGGCACCAGGTCCTCGGGCACCAGGTGGTTACGCAGGCCGCCGGTCAGCACGCGCACGAAGCGCGACGCCTGGTCGTGTGAGGTGGCCAGCAGCCTGCCGGCGGCGCCCGACGCTAACGTCACAAACACACGCGTTCCGGCCGCCCAGGGACAGGCTACACACGCTCCTTTGTACCACGCAGCCGGCAAACATCATCACGCTGGAACAGCCGTAAACAAGTCAATGGTCACAACACTGCTGAGTTATAATTTGTAACGAAAACGCCGAATGATCATCCGGGACACGTGATCAGATGAGCCCTACTGGTCAATGAAGACACATGCGCCAGTGTTAGCTGAGCTGTCGGCTGGCGGAGCGATCTGTCGGCCAGCCGTGCGACCTGACGGCTAGCCGAGCGACATGTCGGCTAGCCGAGCTAGTCGACACAGCGAGCGACACCTCGGCGATCACACGACGAAGAGCCTAGGGTGTTGTGATTACGATTCCGTCCTGCGACGGGTACGGGCGTGGGAGGACGGGAGGCGACAAAACAGCGCGCCGCCCGCGGCCCCCTCTCGTCGGCCGTGGGAGCGCGCCCCAACGGCCGGCGTCACCTTGAGCCCAGCTAACGACCAGCCGTAATCGGGCGCGCGCTGGCGCCGAAGACAACAGCGCGCGGCACGCGGAACCGGCGGCGCGCCGCTTTTTCCGGCGCGCGCGGCTCGGCCGACGTCCGGGCGCGCGCCGCCGCCGGGCCCGGCCGAGGGTCACGTGACCTGTTGTGCACGCGCGCCAGCCGACCGCCAGCCTTGACCAAGTTTTTGTGAGAGCGCTGTTTCCTCGGCCAGCGGCGGCTGCGCGTCCGCGCGCGCGCGCGCGCGGCCGGCCGGCCGGCTGCGGAGGAAAGCGGGCCCGATAGCTGGCCGGGATCCGCCGCCCCCGGGTCCGCCGCCCGGCGGCCCCAGTCCGCCGCCCGTCTTCGCTGCCGCCGATCAGCTCTGACCCACCTCTTCCAGAAGTCGAGGAAGGCGGTGGCGGTGACGTGGCCGGTCTTCTCGCCGCCGGCCGCCAGGAACAGCGGCACCTTCCAGTAGAGCGGCAGCTCGCACGCCTGCCGACACCGAGCGCCGGCCGTCAGTCCGCCGCTCGCGGCCGCCCGGCCACAATGGAGACAGCCCGCCGCGCGCCCGCCTAACCGCACATTGAGCCGGCGCGTGACAATCGCTTACCGCTGCCATTGTTGTGGCGCCGGACAAAGGCCGTCTGAAGCGGTACGGATGGCCGCCGTTGCTGAGAGCCATGCACTGCACTGTTCGCTGACCGAGTGGGCCTCCGAGAATATATTTAAACGTCACTAAGCCTGAAGAGCCACCAGTCACAGTATCATTGCAAACACGGCACACCGCTGAGACGAATTCGGGAAGAGGCACATAGCAGGACGAAAAGGATGCCATGGAAGCTGGAGGATCAGATGATGTAGTCTCTGGGTCTACCCATGCCAGCAAAGCTAAACGTGCGAGAGGGAATGGAACTTGCAAAAGCGCACCTGGGCGGTCCAAATGCGAGCAAAGAAGTATCTCCGTATCAGGTTCGTTAAACAGACACCAGAACAATTGTCCCACCCGAACTGTCCACCTGTGCCCACATCTGGCGCGGGCGTACCGCGCAGACCCGGCCAGCCGACGTATGACACACGGCGCGATTGCAATACGCCAAACCCATCTGTCGCATCAGCCGTGGCTGCGGCCGCGTGCCCAGCGCTCCGGGCGGCGGCGCCGGTGCCTCTGGCAGCGGTGCAGGGCAGCCAGCGCCGGCCCGGTCGCGCCGGCGTATATGGCGCGGCCGGCGCCACCACCGCCGCATATGGCGGCGCGGCCGTCTGCGCCCGAGGACGCCTCCCCACCGGCCGGAGCGTGCCGAGCGTCCCCTTCCCAGGACGTGCCCCCCCCCCCCCCTCAGCGGAGAGAGTCATTGATGCACCGCGCGGCGGGCGCACGACACGCCGGCGGGGATCGGCAGCTAGCAGCCGGCGCTCACCCCGGTTACCAGCGACAGAGAGCACTGCTCGATAACATGCAGTTGTAATGCAGTAAAGCTTCTTTTGAGTGGACTACAAAATCCTAAGGCCATCGGCTGTTGCCTTCAGGCAGCTCTGTCGCGTCCGCTGGCCTACTGCCTCGGGTGCGAACTCGCCGTTTGTCCGGGGTCGCAGCGGTCAGCCGGGCCAGCCGAGCGGGGAGCCGCGGCACCCGACCACTATCCTCTGTTGACGGTCGGGGCCGCACCGACCAGCACACAGCTGCCATGTTTTATTCATCTGCACACATCTGTGATTCGGGGCCGGCGCCAGCAGCGGCCGCCCGCGCACCGTCTGTGCGGCCAGGCCGGCGCGGCGCGGCGCGGCGGCGCCGGGGCGGCCGGGTCCGCGTGCGGCGCCGCAGCGACCGCTCGTGACGGGCCGGGCCGGGCCGGGACAGGGCGGAACCGGCAGCCGGCGGCGGCCGCTCCCTCCGCGGCACGGGACGGGTGCTGCGGATCAGCAGCCGCGCCCGCGGCTGCGCCTGCACGCGATCAGGCTTAGCGGGAGGGAGGGCCGCTGATCCAGTTTAAAGACGTCCGGGCTGGCTGAGTCGGCAAGCCCGGCGGGAGGCTGGGAGAGGCTGATGCTGCGCTGCGCTCCGAGCCCGGGCTAGACTGCAGCAGGCAACGGCGAATTTCCCCAGCGGCAGTGCTCCCACGTGGCGCATGTCAGCGGCTCGGGCCACGCCGGGAGACGGGCTCCCTGAGCGTGAGCCCTGGCCCGGTAGGCGTCTTCGGACGGCCGAAAGCGGCGTGCGCGGAACAGCCCTCTCACCTTGGCGATGGCGGCAAACTTGTCTTTGGGCACCTGCCCGCCCGGGTAGGAGGAGAAGGCCTGCGCGATCTTCTGCAGCTGCGCCTCCAGCTTCTCCCGGCTCTCGGGCCGGCCGTGCGGGAAGTGGAACCTGCAACAGGACAGAGCGCCGCGTCACAAGCGCGCGCCGGACACGCCAGCGGAGCACACCCCCACACCGGCGGCGCCAGATGCAGGTCACGGTACGTCCCAACCGGACGCGTGGCACACAGCGCGCCGTCAGCGACGCGCGGCGACCGGGCCGGGCCAGACCCTGCGACCCTGACCGACCGGGCCGCGCTCCGTGACCACGTCTGCGCCCGAAAGAAGCCAGTCATTCGGTTCGGCCGCACCCAGCCCGGCACACAACACGCACGGCCGGTAGCCGAGTACCCAACGGCCTCGCCGTGCCACTATTGTATACAAGCCGGCGGCCGCGCCTCCGAGCGGCCGGTGCCGCGGTGTTTGGATGAGATCGAGCCCCAAACGCTCATGACGCAGCGCTTCAATGGACCACTGCGCAGAAACGCGGTGAGCGCCGCGCACGGGACTGCCAGCCTCCGGGCCGCCGCGCGCCGCTGACAGCGTGCCGCGTGTGGTGAGCGCGGCGCACGACGGCCGCCAGACGGGGGCGCGGCGCGCGCAGGTAATTCCGGCGCCGACTCTGGCGGCCGGCGGGTGCGGGGAAGGCCGGCCAGGCGGCGCCGGCCGGCGAAGGTCGCCGCCCTGGACGTGCCGGGGCCACGGCAGACAGGCGCGGGCCACGCGTCCGCCAAGGCCGCGCCGCATCGATCGGACGCCGTCCTGCCGGCAGCTGGCCGGCACCGGGACAGCCGCCGCGCCGCCCCCGCCTGACCCACATCCCAGCTCGGCGGCGACCTCGGCGACCCCGCCTGAGGGGCTCGGTCGGCCGGCACGACCCAGCGGGCGGCGGCGGCGGCGACACGACCTCGGCCCAGTCCCTCACCGCCACCGATCATGTCCGCATCGCCCTGCGGTCGCCGTCCGGACGCCCCCCCCCCCCCAACCCAGCCGCTCTGCCTGACCTGAGCGGCGACCGCGGCCTCACCGCCTCGGCCAGGGCGGGACGAGACCAACGCCCGCCCACCGACGAGCTAAAGGCACTGCCGATAAAGCGGCTCAGATCCGACCAAATAAACAGGCTGGTCTGCGAGACAGCCACATGCCCTCCGGCGGCCTTGGGACGCCCATGAACATGCTTTGAGGGTATTTGTTTGCACGATGAATCCCCCTCGGGGCGGAACAGCAGACCTAAACGAATGTCCGGGTGACTGCGCAAGCGAGAGACATCCAAAGGATTCGGGAAAACATACGTTATGTAACTGAAGAGAGCACACTGTGCGGAGATAACCCCGAAGCTGATTATCCCAACGCGTCCTACTAAGAGGCAGCCCGCCCGCTGATACAAGTTGTGCTCTTCACATCTTGGGACGGCTTATTTACTGCGCCGAGCCAGGACACTGGAGTGCGACGCATCAACCGCTCCACGCACCCCAGAAGGGAGGCCGCTTTCCCTGCGCCAAGCGGACGTCCTACGCAGGGTAGCACCCAGCCAACCACAAGCTTATCTGTGACCTCCATCTCGCGTCGTGTCTTCCATAGAAATGCTCCGGGACGACCATCACGTGCACGGAAATGCCGAATGTTCAGCGGTCCAGATCTCGAAGGCGGCAGGGAGCAGCCCGGCATTCACTGTGCTGTGTTTATATGACACCCTGCCTAAAGACGACGACGCTGCCTCGGCGGCGGTAGCTGGAGCTGCGGATCCCAGTCTTGACCTGACCACGGCCGGCAATCGTAGGAAGCGCGCCAGCCTGTCACCTCGTGATTCTCTCTGTTGCGACTGGTACTATCTTATCCATCATAGCCTGTCTGATCCAGTCCAGGTTGGTTGTGTAATGAATGGGACGATTTTTGTTCCCGTCCTGCACGATATTGCGGCGCCGTCCTGACCAAAACACTGCTCCCAGTGCTGGCCTCGCCCCTGATGACTTTCTCGTCACGTCCTCGTCTGACCTTCTGTCGCTGATCTGACCAGGCGCGTGACGGCCGGTCCCGCCACACATCCTGACCTGACCTGACCAAACCGCCGTCCCAAGAGAGTGAAAGTGTCGCAGTCGGCGGCGGCAGGGGGGCGGGGGGGCTTGTTTACCGGGGGCGGGGCGACAGTGTTTATTTTGTAGCTCCGTCGCCGCGGCGGGCCCGATCCCAGGTTTCCCCGGCCGCCTATTGCGCCGTAACGGTGCGGCCGCAGACCGATATAGGCCAGCCAGCGGCGCACCACCGCTGCCCGGCGAGGCCGCCTTGTCTAGCTGCGCAACCCCTGCGAGAGTCCCGTGAAGGGGCCCCTGACCGTCACCGAGGGCTGTCCTCACGGCGGGGGACCCTACCGTCACCGTAAGCAGTCCCCCAACCCTACCCGTCACCGCGAGCTCTCCTCAGTGCGAGGCCACCCTGACCGTCCAGGCGACGGAGGGAAACAAGGCCCCCCCACCCCCCAGGGCGCGCCGGCGGCGCGACACGGCCGGCAAACCAGCCGTCGGGCGCCGGCGCCGGCGGGTACACTTGACCTTGCACTCGGCCGTCTGGATGGACACGCGGCCGGCCGGCCAGACGCGCCACACGCCACAGATCTCGCCGACCGGCACCACGTGGCGCCGCCGGCCGTGACCGGTACGATGCCCCAAACCGGTCACGAGGGACTTTCGATGTCGCAGCTGAGGTCACCGGCAAGTACCGCAACACCCTGGCGCGGCGCGGCCGACACCCCCAGCGCACCGGCTCCGCGTGTCGCTTCCGCGCATTCAATCACGGGCATTTCGCATTCGCGCTGCACGGCGACCGCACAGCGATCCTGAAGGCACGAGCATGCAACAAAGCACGAGCAACACACAGGAATCCGCACCGCCACGCAGACAAAAGCAACGGTCGTAACGGCCAGCTCCTTCCGCCATCACCGCCTGCCGGCAGCGACGCCGCAACACCTGCCTGGGTATGAGCGCGTTCTTCTGTGCGCGGGCGTTGGCCGGCCGCCGCGGCGGTGACTTGGGCGAGGCGGTGGGCGACTCCGTGCTGCTCCTGCCATCCTTGTCCCGGCCCGTACGTCTGAAAGGTGGGCGGACGGGTCAGTCGGTCGGCAGCGGTCTCCGCGGCGCCCCGCCAGGTCACGGCGGGCCGACGGCGGAGCGGCGGCGCGTCCGTGCGCGGTCGCATCCGCCGCCTCCCTTTGTCTCCACGCTGCGCCGGATGCAGAACGCCGCGTCCGGCTACGACACGCGTCGGAAGCCGACAGTGGCGTTTATGGCCGCATGCATTTGTACATCGAGGCGGGCTACTCAAGCATGCACTCCACGTATTTCCTTCCGCGCAAAGCAGCGCATCGGGGGCGGGGAGGGGGGGGGGGGGGGGCAGGGAGGGATGCGCCCGCCTGGAGACGCGTGGGACGCCGGACACCAAGAGTTTCCGGCCGGGTCGCGTGACCCGTAAACGAACCGGCGTGAGGCCTTCGTCACCAAGGCTGACGCGCCGCACGCCTGGCGTGGCCACCTCGGGAGTGGGGAGGGGGGAGGGCGTAAACGGCTCCAACTCCGACTCCAGACTCGCGCCAAGCGGGCGGCCGTTGGCGCAGCCCTGACTCGGAGTCCGTGTCGCTGCAGACTCGCGGCCGCCGTCACGCGACACGCGACCGGGAGCCACCCGCCGCGCGCCGGCGTCAGCCCGCCCGACGGCCGGCGGGTCTTCGCGCTGCGGCGAGCCTCCGCAGCGAGCCCCTCCTTCTGCGTAGGCGGGCTCGACCCGGCCGACCGGGCCGGCCGCGTTGATGACAGCCAGATCCTCGCGACACTGGACTCGGACAGCACGTGCCCGACATAGGGGCACGTGTGACAGGCGGCGGCAACTCCAAGTCAGGATGAATCACGCGGCCGGAGGCGCCTCCGCGCTGACCCGCTGAAATCCCAGATATCGCGGCGGCGAGGGTCGTGGTTTTCAGCGGTAAACCAGCGCATCAGAATATAAACCTTCGCCGTACTGCACGCTTTGAGCACTGTTCGGAAGCAAATAATGATATCATCAGACTGAGCTGGCGTAGGACGGCTGGTGCTCTTTCCGGAACCACCGGCAGGACAAACAAGCTCCGAGTTGTCACCCAGTGAGAATGGGACTGCACAATAGTTTATGCAGTAGGGTTGTATCACTCCCAGTACTCGTAAGCTAGGTGGTACGCATGGCAGAGTGCAGGCCACGATAAGTTCTCACAATGCGAGGTGCGCACATGCTAAACGGCACGAAAGATATACCCCATTCACGATGTGACAGCCCTTTGCTGTAGGCGCTGTCTCATACAATGCCAGACATGCGGACACATGGATCCCCCCAGTCAGACTGCGAAGGTATGGCAAAAAGGCTTATACAGCTGTCGCTGTCCTTTGTTCAGTTGAACTTGTGTTTCGCGGGTAAAACTATCCTGGATTAACGTAACGTGAATATCACCGCATTGGTTGCTTTGTACCAGCTGACATAGGCCAGTTAAATGTATATCTAGGTAATTTTATCTGTCACGCCGACTACCTGGAAAAAACAAGAATACGAGATGCTTTCCGTTGATACCTTGAATATTGTTAGCACTTGGACGCACTTGTTGCGCAATTAAAACACCCATTGTTTGTAATACAACTGGCACGACCACAGCTCAGCCCGAATTTTCTTTCCCCCGATTTGTTTTCCTTTACCGAGTTCGCCCTGCTTTCACGCACAACGAATAATATCCTCACCAAATGTTTATACACGGAGTTACTTAACAGCGCCGTAAAAACGGCCGACCAGCCTAACGCCTATAAGCTAAACAAACAGCCGGGGCGGTTCGGCTGGCCAGACGGGCTGCGCCGGTCGCTGATGTGACCCCGGCCGTCGCCCTGGCGTGACCCGGCGCTGCCCGCGGGGGGGCCGCCACCCTCTGACCGGGCGCCGGCGCGCTGCCGCGCTACGGCTCTCTGGTAGCGCCAGGCGCGCGCCGCCAGCTGGCGCAGCGTCACGTCGCGCAGCCAGCCGCCGGCCAACGGAAAACCACTGCGCAGAGTCCGACCATTCCCCCAGCAGTGACTCACATGGGTGGATACTTGGCAACTGTCAAATTAGACTTAATAAGGCGTGGTCGTGACAGTTCCGTCATTTGCTTTCGTCAAATGACGCCAACAGTGCGAGTTTTGCTGCATTGCAGTAATCATACTCGTATTGTAATTGTCCTATCCACCGATAGCATCAATGACTCCTTCAAGAACACAGCAGTGCACATGATCACGCCATCTTGGCATGATCACTAAATTTTGCTGGAGGTCCCCCCCAATGCCGGACCCTGGAACCACCTCCGCGTTTGCCTTGCATCCGAAATTTGGACTCAGTGCGTAGACAAGATGTTAAGCAAGACCTCCCGCAAATCGCTTTGGAGATAAACCGGCGAGAAACACGAGTATGGGATAGGGGGGGAGTGGTGGTGGGGGTGAAATCTTCCACCGGTAATAGGGTTACAGAGAGCCGCCAAAAAAGTATCCTGCCAAACCTGTCAAAACTTGTGTCTCATACGAAAGACCCTTTGGTACCTTTCTTTTTACCAGCCAGGTATTCGGTCTTTCTGCTGCCACATGGCAAGGTGTTGGCTTCACCGAGGGCCCCGTAAATGGCTGGTGCGCAACAGCCGTGTCTGCCAGCGCTATGCCAGTACTTAATATCACGACGTTGCAGCACAGGGCGCGAGTGAAACATCCAGAACTGATAGTATTTCCGTAGGTTTGCGCTTGTTCTTTTCATTTTTTTCTCGAAGTTTTCAAAACGCGAAACGCGACAGTTGCTCCTTAATTCTGCAATTGTTGAGATTGAAAGGAGTTTTTCTGAATCACGACATTAGCCTCGCTTCAGAAAGATGTGCTCAGAAGGCTTCTTTCGCAGGCTCAATGCCCTTATGTCGACACGACTCAACCAGACTAGTACCAACGTCAGCCACTGCACACGCTCTTTCAAAACCAATCTCTTAACCCTGATGCCAAACAATACCTGATACCATCTGAAGCCCCAGCGCATTCTGAATATCTCTGATCTCGTCCTTTGTGCTCGGTGCAAGCCTTTTCCGGTTGCGCAACATCAGCCTCTCGCCGCCCATTAGAACTCGCCGGGGCGTAGTGAGCAGCGCGGTCCCAGCCAGCGCAAAAGACGGGCTGATGCGATCGGACACCGCCCGACAACGGTCACATTATGCGTATCGGCTGGGCGCCGAGCATTCAGGTGCCACGTCGGCCGTGTCTCACCGGCCCGAAGATAGCCTTGAGCAGCAACATTCCCGGCGCGGCCTCCGAACTCCGGAAACACGTGGGCCGCGCGAGTGAGTCCAGCTCTGCCGCCGAGCAGCGCCTCGGCCCGAGGTCCGACACAGCACGCCCAGCGCTCGGTCACCTCGACTGCACCGGTCTGCTGTCGACCGCGGGGGCTCGCGGTGCGCGCGGCGGCGGGCGGCACGGTACTGACTGCGTGGCGCCGGCGCCGGCCGGATTTGAACCGGCCGCGGCGCGTCAGCACTGTTTACGCGGCGCCACCGGAGGCGGGGCCTAACGTCAGGCAGTCGGCCGCTCTGTAAACTTACATCAGAGTTCGGGCCGGCTGGCCCGCGCGAGGTCGCCCGTTATCCCGTCCAACGATGGAGACGGCGGCGTCACAGACGAGGCTGATGGCCGAGCCACCAACAGGACGCCCAGGGCAGGGCAAACCCCGGGCACCGGCCCAAGCTGACCTCCAGGCGCCACACCGAGTTTAGCAGCCGGGAAGCCCCCTGCCGTTTATTGAGAATAGCACGCCCACGTCGTCCGCCGTTCGGAGAAGGGGGAGACGGGGAGGAGACTCTGCCGGGGACGCGACGTGAGCGGTCGCGGCACGACGGCGGCAGGAGAGGCAGTACCCTGTGGACCGGCGGCTGTGGCCAGTCGCCGGCCCGCGTCCCAGCCGCGACCCGGAGCTGACCGCCACAGCGTGCCGCCGACGGCGAGCGGCCCCGGCCCGACCCGACCGGCCGCCTCGGCACGGCCGGTGACGAGCGCCAGCCGCCGCCGGGCCGCCCACGGACGGGCCGGAGAGCGCGCCACCACCTGGTTCGTATTGGGGTCACGGCGATTCGTCGCAGGGGTGACGTGGGCGGGAGAGACCCGCTCGGCCACGCCGTGGCCCCTTGTCGCCGGTCCAGAGCCGCCCTAAGACGTGCCCGAATCGAGTGAAAGCGGGAAATGACATCCCATTCCGCCGTTAGAGGAAATGCGGATCCCGGAAAAGGATGTCAGACGCCGCTCGTGCGAGAGACCACATTACGGGGCTCCAGTTACACCACAGGTGTTCGTGTTTTCCTCATAATAACGCGCCTCTTCACCAGGCGCCGTTTCGGGTATTCCAAAATTATGGTCCTGCGGTACCACCTGCCCTGCGCACAAGGCCAAACGACTGCCCGTTCGAGAGGCGGCACGGCTGAGCCCAACATCTAGCACACTTTTTACAATTAAACGTTACTATTACGTCATTTCTTCACCTGACAGTTTTCTGTTGGGGGGGGGGGGGGCGGACTTCAGTCAAGAATATAACACCACACCTCCACGCACGCAATCACCAATATGTAAGGATAGGGGCTGCCGCGAAGCAGCTCCCTCATGTCCTAACATCGGCACGTCTCCAGTGCATGATTCACTTCGAAACTGGCCATATATGGACAGCAGACACTGGGTCTCATAACTGGATTAAGATGCATAGCATAACATATACAGATCTGGCCGTGTGTTTTTAATGTCCGAGGGCAGAAGATGAAGCAGTCAGCCTGGCCCGGTGGTGACGTCACCCACGCCCAAATGGCATAAACATCCACTAATCTGCCGTCAAATAAACATGTGCACGCAACAACTGAATGACAAATTTCAGATACGAATGCCGCATGTCTCAAACTGGATAAACGCTCGAATAAACATAGACAGCTTATCGATAAACATCGACAACAGCCTCGCTATTTCAATACCGGTTCCAGCTGCCGACCGAGTCACACTAACAGACCCGGATCAGCGTGTCCCAGCTGCGC